ATTTCGCCAAGTCACTGGGTGCTGGACAGCGGCTCAGGTCGTCACCTGATTAACGATTTGAGCTTGCTGGAAGATGCGGTGGACTGCAACACCAAATGCTTCACCGCTGCGTCGGACAGTGAACCACTTCGGATCACCAAGCAAGGAAGTGTGATGATCCGGGTCAAAGCACTTGGACTAACTAAGACAATACGTCTTCTCGATGTTCAATACGCATCAAACTTGGAGTGCAACATCATCTCGTTTGGGAAACTCGAGTCGAAGGGATGCATCCTTGAGTATCGAGAAGGGAGGCGTGTCATGGTTTCGCAATCCGGTGGACTACCTATCATGGATGTCGATCGGATCAATAGTGTACTGGTCGTTGAAGTTTTCACTGGAGCTACGACCAATGGTTCCCATGGTTTCGGATCACCAAGAGAAGCTATCATGACGGTCGTCGACGACATCAAGAGTAGCACAAGGAACGACGTTCAACATGGAACCCTGTTTTATTTTCATCACTGTCTAGGGCACTTGTGCTACGACACCATCATAAAGATGGCTCGGGATCCCGCATCTGGTATCAAACTGACTGATACCAAGCGCGTCAAGTGCTTAGCCTGTGCACAAGGCAAGCAGACAAAGAACCGACAATCGCGGAAGGACAGTGGGTTGAATTCACCCATTGACGTGATCGGAGGCGTGGTCTGTTCAGACCTGAAAGGTCCTATGACCCCCCGTGATCGACTCGGCAATCGATACCTGATCAATTTCATTGATCACAGGTCGAATTACTGCCGGGTGTTCCTAGCGAAGACCAAAGATGCTGCTGCGATGCACTTCAAGAATTTTTTGGTGGTTTTCGAACGCCGATTTAATTGCCGTATACACGTTTTACGTACAGACGGTGGAGGCGAGTACAAGCCTCTGGATGTTTTTTGCAAGGAAGTCGGTGTCTCTCGCCAAGTGAGCGAGCGTGACAACCAGGCCAGCAATGGCAAAGCCGAGCGCATGCATCGCACTATCATGAATATGGTGCAAAGCATGGTGTTTGCAAGTGGGTTACCCTTGACGTTTTGGGGTGATGCTGCAGAATATGCAGCATACATCTTGAATCGAAGTCCCACCAAGGCTAACGAAGGTAGCACCTCACCCATCGAGATGCTAACCAAGAAGACACCCGTCTTAAGTGACATTGTGGTTTTCGGGTCCTCATGCACTGTGCATCGAACGACCTCGAACAAGTCATTGGGTCCCCGTGGCAAACAGGGGATCATCATCGGGAAAAGCGATGAAATGAAAGGCTATCGGGTCTTCATACCAATGGATCATGTGGTGGTAGTAACTCAACACGTGAAAAACGTCGAAACCTTGGATAACATCCAAAGGCCAAACATGGCCAAAACGTTACATGGTACCGAAGGTCAGGAGGAGCTCGGTGACCAAGGTGGCACGAGCAAATCAAGTGCAAGGCCATCAGAATGGACTCGTGATCCACACATGACACGATCACGCCGAAATGAAGAAGATACATCAAGCGAAGTCACTATCTCAGGTGAGGGTGTCGACATCGTCAACGCTGTTCGGGACCCAAAAAACTTTGGCGAGGCTGTGCGAAGCGACAGCAAGGATAAATGGGCTGTGGCCATCAAGGATGAACTCGACGCACTGGAGGAGAACGGTGTGTGGGCGATTGTCGTTCCACCTGACAACGCCCACATACTCCACAACAAATGGGTTTTCAAGACAAAGACCGATGCTGACGGGAATGTCGAGAGATACAAGGCCAGACTCGTTGCATGTGGAAACGAGCAATTGTTTGGAGTCGACTACACCTTGACATTTGCCGCGGTTATGGAACTCGGGACAGTCAAGGTGATCCTGGTCCTCTCACGCAGATGGAATGTGCCTGCTCGTCACGGCGATGTGCCAAACGCATATGTCAAGGCCGATCAGGAAAAGGACCTCGACATCTACATGAAGATACCAAGTGGTATGCAAGCTAACGAAGACACCTTGGCCTATCATCGTGTGGACGCAACCAAACAGCTCGCACTGTTGCTCAAGAAGTCTTTGTATGGCTTGAAACAAGCTGGAAGATTGTGGAGCAAACTACTGCACTCCAAGCTGACCGAGTTAAACTTCAAACAATGCACGACGGACATGTGCCTCTATGTCAACCGAACCGGTACGGATGTAACGGTTGTCGGTGTTTACGTCGACGACCTACTGGTGACTGGAACTTCGAACGCTGTCGTCGGCATTGTGAACAAGTTCCTCGGAGTGAGGGTCAAGCTGAACGAAAATGAAGGCTACGTGTTCGACCAAGAGGTTACTATCGACTCACTGCTAAAGGAACATGGACTGGCTACTGCTAACGGTGTTCGATCTCCAATCGGAAACGAATGCAACGACGACGATGAGTCGAACTCAGAGTCATTAAAGCCGACCGCCAAGGATGGAGATGCAAGCATCAAGGCCTTTCAGTCACTCGTCGGAAGTTTACTGTGGATTGCGCGTTGTACTCGACCGGACATTTGTTTTGCGGTACACCGGGCAACCCGGCAGACCCACAAGCCGACGGTCAAGGATTGGAGAACGGCGAAACGAGTCGCGAGGTATCTGAAGGAGACCAAGACGTTGAAGCTATGCATAAACAGTCCACAAGGCGTGGACGTCCCAATCAAGATTGAGGGCTGGAGCGACGCGGACTTCGCTGCGGGCAAGTCGGACCGCAAGTCGGTCACTGGATACGTCCTTACTGTGGATGGCGCTGTCGTTTAATGGGCGTGCAAGAAGCAGACCGGGGTGTCGCTAAGCACAATAAAAGCTGAGTTCATTGCAGCGTCTCACGCTGGTCGCGAACTACTGGGTTTGAAGGAGCTGTTTGGCGAGTTAAACATGAAAATCGTCAAGCCAATGCCGATGTGGATGGATAACCAAGCAGCCATCAACTTGTTGAAGACCGAGAAAAGTTCGTCAAGTGCCAAGCATGTGGATATTCGTTTCAAGTTTATCTGCCACTACGCACAAGCAAAAGAGATTAAACCACGCTTCATCAAGTCAGAGGAGATGATTGCTGATCTCCTGACTAAGGCACTACCGGCACCAAGGATGAAGGATCTGCGCGCGATGTTTAAGTTGAAGACCCCTTCGGATACGATTGAGGAGGAGTGTTAGAAGATATCGTTTCTGACAAGTCGCGAGGGTCAAGGGCAATACCCCGTGACACGGTAAGTTACAATCGTACCTGATTGGCTAACAAGTTTGACATCTTGACAGATGGGACGAGGCGACGATGTCGCCACGTCGGACCACCAGGATGTTGCGACATATGAGACGAGGCGACGAGATTACCATGTCGTCTTGTCGATGTCGTAACAGGTGGGACGGAGCGGGATAGACGTGCACTATAGACGGTATAGTTGCAGTCCGTTTCGCATGCATGTGTAGGTATTAACGAACGAGGGAGGTTAATGCTTAAATATATTCACTTTTACTTCTACATCTTCTGGAACAAGTGCATCAACGAGCACTCATCTTTCTACATCCTTTCCTTCCTCTGTGTTCATTTAACACCTAGCAGGGCACTGTCGACCACTGTTGTCAGTGGAAGTATACTACGTACTGGTCAACCAGTGCGTAGTCAACAGTGCCCCGTTACATCTTGCGATCGTAAGGAAGTAGCAACGCCTTGTTAAGGCAGCTACTCCTTGTGCACTCAGTGCGTTTGATTCTTTGAATTGTTTGGTCCCTCTGGAACAGGGACCGTAAGCTCTCTGAGCTTGTTGACTTTTTGAATCGGGTTCTTTAAACCAAAGTTGCTTATTGAGCGTTAAGTTTTCCTCTGACTTAGGGAGCTGTGTAGCTCCGCTACACCCTGGGTCTCGTCGATTTGACACTTATGTGGGAAGCCTATGATGAGGAAGGGTGGATCATGCAAGAGGACTCTCTGGCATGAGTGCGTCATCGACCGGTCGGTCCATGACTTCCTTATCCTTGTAGCTCTGGAAAAGGTCTGGTCTCCAAACCAGTCGGTAGAGGACTCTCATAAGGCAAACGTAGATCACTTTTTTTCGGGTTTATCTCAGGCTGAGAAACTATTGTACGCACTTCTGTTTATGTGCGTGCAATAAATCAGGTCGCTGGCTATGACGTCATGAACGATTTGAAGAATGTTCTGAGGATCTGGGACTTCGGTGGTACTTCCACTTTGTGATATTAAGTTTCGACCGTATGCTCATCGAATTAGGCCTCGTGCCGAGAAGGACCAATGGAAAGTAAATTAACAGTGAAGGACGACATGCAGCAATCCACTATTCCCGGCTAGTCATGACTCTTAAACAGGTCTTCTTATCTGAAACTGGGTATGTTGGACGAGAACGAGTCTGTGACATCATGCGGCATCATTCGAGTGATTTTCATCACCGATATTCACCAAAATTGCCCGCAAAGATCCATTTGCGTGAACTTATTCGAATTATTCCCAACATCTTTTGCTCAACATTGAGAGTTGACGCAATTTAGCGACTTTTCAGTAATAGCTCTCGGGGTCGGATGCGGTGACACTGGCAAAAATGTCCATAACACAATCAGCTGTGGACCACAAGAGCACACTGCTGAGTCAGTGTGCTCTCGTCGCGAGTGTTGATCGTCGATGCACGAGCTGCGGACACAATCGTGTCACTCTTTGTACCACAGTGAAGACGTTCCGCTTGTCTCCCACCTCTTAGGAAGTGCCAAATCTCTTAAGACGTGTCTTGACATGCACTAGAGCAAACGACACCATGCAATTGCTTCATACACAGCACGTCATTGTTACCTTATAGCCACCGCAAAGGTCAAGACAACCACACGCGTCTTTGCATGTCTGAAGATCACGTGCTTCCATTACATATATTATCGATCCGCTAGTCGAAGCCATTCAGCTGCAATCGTTGTATGTACGTGTAGTAGTAATGCCACCAGCCATTTAACCGCTGACTAGCGCCTTGTTGCCGCGTCAGATCCGAACGCCTCTAGGAGAAATTACCATTAGCCACACGACGATTAGCAGCGGTCGGGTCGTTGTGGCCAAAGCGTGTGCGCAACACGTTGTAGCGGCTGATCGCGTCATCGATATTGAGGTACGTGCCCTGGAGGTGGCGCACGCCATCCGAACACGGCGTGAACTGCCGGCGTCCATGTAGAACTCTGCGCTGATTGAAGATGACAGTGTCCCCTTCATTCAGTTTGAATTCGTAGCAATGCTCACGACCTTCAACGAGCTCGTGGAAGAGGCGGTAGGCGTCATAGTAGGGCATGACCTCGTGGAAAGCTACTCGCAATGGTCCTTCAAACGGAGGACTCCAGTGCACGGCCACAACTTCGTCGCGGTGGTTCACCTGGATGTGCGGCCGCTGGTACTCTAACATCGTTGCCTTCTCGCGGGTCAAGTGACGCTTCATGAACGTCGCAGGGACACGGCACAATGTTGCAAAGTGCTTTGGATGACGGCGACGGAAAGCTTCTGCCGCCGCAAACACATCGACAAACGTCGACTCGCCTCCTCTCACGGATTCGTCAAAGCGCAGTGCGTGCAACAACTGGAATCCAGGAGGCGACTCGTAGTAGGCCAAGTCCATGTGGTTCTTCAGGTGAACACTAGTGTACGCAATGTTGACCTGCCACTCGCACGACTTTGTCAACTTTGGCTCCGTCGTCAACGATCAAACCCGTGCTGAGCAACTTACTGGTGTCGACTCGGCCACCACGTCAAACACATCACCATACTGGAACCTGCACGACACGGACGAGAACAACGTCAGGTTGCAGCCATGACCACACATGTACATGACATAACGTACGAGTGCGAGATGGGAGCAATGCGCTCTGCGATCGACTTGACGATTCCCGGCACCGACGGCGTCTTGCGGATGACTGTGAAACCGTTCTCAATGACCTGACGAAGTGCCTCGTACAGCCCCTCGTCATCGTTCGTGTCCATCATACGGGAAAATGCCGTCGAAGGCACAGGAGCATCGAGGGGCAAAGCCGTCGTCGCCATCTTACGGGCGCGCGCGTCCAGTGCCCAGTCCGAGTAGCTGTTTTCAAGCAGCCACGTGGGCGAGAAGCTGGACTTGTGACGGTCGCTCCACACAATGTCGAGCGTCCCGTCCTTCACTGCACAGCACCAGAGAGAGCGACAGACAGACAGACAGAATGGACACGTGACGTGACGTCACGGCACTTCACATCTCAGAGCGTTCACCGACGTTATGAACAGCAGCAGAGCAGCAGCAGTAGCAGGACGACGTACCACAAACCGTCTCAATGTCCAGTTCGTCTTGGTCAATGTCGGCGCCATTGACCACCCGCTGTCCCGACGGGTGGCCGCAGTCGGGACACTGACACCACGTCCGGAGGTGCAGTAGATGGAAACTGCTTTGCTTGCCATCGCGCCAGCGCAACGTCAAGAACTCGCGCTGCTGCAGTACATCGACCGACAAGAGCTGCTGTGCACGTCGTCACCACCAGTCGTCCCTTCCTGCTCTTGAACGCAACAGCAACAACCAGCTCCACGAACCTCTTGTGCGATCGATGGGAGATCCGAAGAGCGACCAGTAGTGTCCCGCTTGCTGGCAAAGTGTCGTCGGAGTACTGCACTAACTCCCACCGGTTCTGGTCCATCGGGTTCAACGTGACACAGCACGTCAGCGACAACGCTATCAAACTGCACACCCGTCAGAGCTCACCTTGTTGAGTCTGATGGCCTCGTACGATCGACGACGCGGCCCCAGCATACGGACCACTAGTTGAGACAGCATGAGGAAGTAGTCGGGAGAAGCGCCGCAGTACAGCGCGAGTCATGTTATCACTCGTCAGAGGGATATCGGCAGATGGCGAGTTCAACGACTGTCAATGCACCAACCGGTTTTGTTCACACGACAAGCGGTCGAATCGATTGATACCAAGAAACTTCGTTTGTTATGGTGCGCTACGGACGCACTACTGATGCAGAAACAACGCAGTAACTTTGCTGAGCGTCAGTGGCAAGCGACACAATGTTTATGCATTATGCAACAGCAGGTGCTACCAAAGTGTGCACACTGTGCAGTCAAACACCACCAGAGCTTTCTCTGTCAGGAGCTAATGCCTTTCGCAAGCACACTACTGCGCCGTGGACGGGGCCGTTGACTGAAGACCACCGAGTGCACTCCCGTTCTGCTCGCCACATGCGAGCAAGCGGTTCAGGAACTCGCCCACTTCGTTGGTGTCGCGCAGCGTGAACAATGCGTTCGTGGACGTGCTCTCTTCAGTGACAATGATGCCGGCGCCCTTGCGAGCGTCTTGTGCTCGAAAGAGCTGAAACGCGTCTTCGTCAGTAGTGTCATCGCCGATATAGATAGTGTAGACGTCATCGTGCTCGTCCAGTTCAAGCGCCTGGAGAAGCCACAGCAGCGCTTTTCCCTTGTTCCAGTCAAGCTTGGGCTTATACTCGTAGACCATCTTCCCCTCATTGAGTCTACAGCGCACAGCAATACAGGCCCAGAGTCAGTGCACGGCCGCTACATACTCGTCAATAACCTGCCACTCTCTCTTACTTGATACGTGGGTGCTGATCCCGCACAGCGTACGCGATCTTCGACATCTGTGGCCACAAGGCTTGATCGACGTTTCTACGGCACCAAAAAACACATAGCCACCACAGATCGAGTCAGTGCTCCATCTACAGACCGCCAGCTGCACCACGTTGCACGCCTCGCACCGGAAATGCAGCGACACGGAGAAGACATTGTCTTCCACTTCAGCGCCGTCAATGCCTTGAATCTGCGCCCGCAGTTCGTCCCGCACCGCCCGCAAGTCCACAAGGAACTGCGACGCCACTTGGTTCTTGATCGACGTCCCGTCTGGTCCTTTGATATCAAAGCCGTGGCTGCCAGCGTAGTAGAGCTGCGGAAGGCCCACAAACTTCTGGATCTTGTCCAGCGAGCGGCCCGTGATCACACCGGTAATGAACTTCTCGCGCAGCTTCTCGAGCGTGTGCTTCGTCGTAGGTGGCAGCAGAGCCAGCGCCGGGTCGTTCACGATCGGTGTCAGCGTCCCGTCGTAATCGAGGAACACCACGAGGCGGTGGGCACGGAATTGCGCCTGCAACGCGCTAAAGTTCGTCAGCGCGTTCGCAGTGGTCACGGATAGCCGGCGCGGGCGCTGGAGCTCCTGCGAAGCGGACGGCAGCGGCGTTTCCGCCGTCAAAGGAGTTGCGTGGGCCATTGTCGTGACGGGGACGGACCGAACGAGGAAGTGAGCGACGAACGGGCGCGCGACGGGCTGGAGGGGGCAGAAGAAGAGACTCGCGAAGAGAGCGACTGACCCATTCCTCGGGATGGATTGATTGCTCGCGCGGTCGTCAGCCAGGAACGGTCGCGCTGGTCATTGGTCAAAATGCGGTTGACTCGGGGTTTGTATGGGAGCGATAGCGAATGACGTGAGGAGGGCGGCCACGCCCACGAAGCGACGCACACAAAGAGTCCTGAAGATGCACCACCAGGTGGGAGGAAAACGGCTGGCTGACTGGCCTGTCTGTCTGTCCCCGTTTTGACAGCGTGTCGCAACTTGATCTATAGATACGGTACTCGCCCCCACCAATCGAGACGAAAAGGTCGAAACGCGCCCGCCAAAGCTTTGACGAGTCGAGCGATCAGCTTTTTTTGCTCCATCAGTAACCATCGAGATGGCCCACGACGACCACGTCTTCATCCAGAACGTGAAAGCGGGGGTGGAGCAGCCGAGGAAACGTCGGTCCGGCTGCAGTCGATGTCGGTCCAGCAGGTGTGAGCAACTTGTGCACGGCGCGCAACCCCCCAATCTACTTGCACGACAAGGCGGTCAGCAAGATACTTTTTGGACACGCGTTCGTGCATGGCAACCGAATCGTACAAAGATGGGCGCAATCGTGACAACGACGATGTCAATGAGCTGTCGCGGTGCAACGCTTTCGAGACACGACGTCAGGATGGCCGAGCCGCCTTCGACCATGATGCTGCAGATGCCGTTCTGTCTTGCGATGCCTGTGATGGACCTCACAAGTGGGTTAGAGCTATTGCAAGTGATGGCAGGATACCTTTTGCTACCCCTACGTACGAAATGCACAACGAAGATCGACGTGGTCGCGACCGTCAGTTCCAAGTGCGGTCTCGCTTTCAACAACTGTAGCTCCGAGCGTCTCCAGCGCTCGCCTTCGGTCCAATATCTCTGCAGCGAGCACCACACCGTCGTTATCATCAGTACTGTAGCCCACCAGTGACAACCACCACCACGTCGAACCTGGATCTGACGACCCGCGGCCATAGATGATCACCGGTCTTTCGCACGTCGGCGACGTGAACAGCTTGATGGTTGTCGGGCAGCGCAGGTGCGTATCGATGATGATCGGTTGCGGGTTGCGACCTGTGTGTACGGTCAGTTACCCGCTTGTTTGGTACACAGTGTAACGAACGTGATGCCGCCTCGAGGCAACGTTTCGATCAGAATCGGCTACGTGCCTTCCGCTAACCGCGCGTTCAGTGACGGGTTATCTGCAACGACCGTCCCCACGCCGACCAATATACCGTCATGGAGCGTCCGAAGCATGTGTGTCATCTTCAGCGATGCACGTCCACTCAGCAATGTCGGTTTACCTACACAATCAACAACCCAATCGTCGCCTCTTCATGATCAGATTTTGCGGTCGTAAAAAAAAAACGGTCAATCGCTACAACTTTTCCTCTGCACCTCTCTCTACTGCCAGCGATCCGTCGATGCTCTGTGCATACGAAAGCGTCACAAAAGGCATCTTCGCCTCGACATCGTCCGTAGACGCGCGTCTCCATTGCTCCTGTGCCTCGCACACCTGACGTCGCACTTGCTGTAGCGCGACATCGGTCATGACGGTCGGTCGGTCTGTTTGTCTGCTGATGTCCCCATCAACATGGTGTCGACCACACCTTGAAACGGTATACTACCGGTAGTCCAGGAACAAGTGATGCGCAGGTCATACAAAACCGATCGAAAACGGACGCGCCCTCCACACCCAGTGAGAAGAAACCGGTATTTGAACCATTCGTGGGCCGCACGCATTGACCCACACGGAACGAAAAAAATGGCTGCGACGCGAGTACACGAAGCGATTCAGCGGTTCCTGCAGCGCGCGTTGTTCCCGAGACTGCAGACCCCGTCCCCGATCGTATCTCCATTGGCACTGAACAATGCGTCGTCTGCGCTGTCTTCTAACGGGCTACACGACTTCATCTGGCTCGCTGCGCCTAAATCAAAGGTACGACGGTCTCGGACGGTGTCTCGTACCGCATATAGCCACACTTGACTCGTTAGGGTCAAGGGATGTACGAGTCTGTAAAATGGCTGTCGTGGCTGAGACTTAGTGGATGGGAGGAAGTGGGGAAAGCAAGGGCTTGTACAGAAGACATCGCTGACTGCATCGTGGATGCTGCTGCTATCGTTCTGGTTGTTGTTATTGGTACGACTGCGGTTCATGTGCTGTTGTGGTGCAGGTGACACCGTCACGCAAGCGGATTCGGAACAATGACTTGAGCAAGCGACTAAAGAACATTGTGCACTTCCAAGTCTGTTCCATGTGTGGGGAAAAGAAGCTGCGTCATCGTTTGTGCATGAGCTGCTACAAGCAGGGCAAGTACTTTGTGTAAACACACGAGCGACTCGACCGTCCCGACGCATCGTGCCAGCCACATGCACCCAGGAGACGATGTACTTTGCTCATGGTGAGGACGCATAAAATAGACGTGTCTGGCTGTGCAGACGCACTTCACGAGCCTCTGTGCTTTGCATATGGTCTTGTACCCATGTTCGACTCGCTAAAGTACTACATAGTCCTGACAACCCTATCGAGTTCTAGTCAAACGCTGTCATTTCGAAAGCTGCAAGTGGCTACAGATGGACGAAGTCTCGATCGGACTCGGGATGGAGCACGAGAACGCGTCGTTCCTTCATGTCTCAGAGTCTGCTACTGCTACTGCGGCTACGGAAGCTGCAGTAGCAGAGCCAGTGCCGCCGCACGTCGTGTCCGTTCCAGCGCCAGGTCCTGCCGACCCGTTGCAGCCAATGGCTCCTCCGTCCGCTATGCCACTGCAGTTGCCTGCAGCAGGCGCAGATGACGACCAACTGCGCGTATCGTATCGCTGCAAAGCCACCAAGTGCTTCCGCTTGCAGTGGGAGTCCGAAAGTGCGTGCAATGAGCGTGTGGACGTGATAGGGAAGACAGGAAAGCTCTAACGGACCTGTGTTGTGTCTGTTTGTTGTTGCGATTGCCATAGTAAACCCGCGATGCCGTCGCCAAACGACGATCGTGATCAAGAACGACGTCTACATCTTTGACGGCTTTTATTTATTGTGCCACGGTGACCCGCCGGAAGTCCCGAGGGTAAGAAAGACGCTATGATGGTCTCGAGTCTGTAGTCTTGAAAGCACTCACACTGGCGTGCTGCTGCTGCTTTGTTCAGTTCGAATACACGCGTGGAGGCGTTATGTGCACGATCCGATTCGTACTGGAAGATCTGCCGTCGTCGGTGCGCGGCGGAACGAGCAACAGTGGGGACGCTGACTTGAGCCGAGAAGCGCATCGATCTTTCTGTGACTCGCTGTTTCTCCTTCAGCGATACGTGTTCCAGCAATTGCTGGGCATCCAACCAGGGCATTTGTTTCGTAGTGTGTTTTCAGACCCTGATCATGCGACGGGTGACTTGTCTGAGATCTGTGGTGACTACCATTTGGTGCCGCGGTTTATTGCGGTGAACGAAGAGCCTTTGCTTCGTATTGAAGACTTGCACTCGCCCAACCGCGTGGGTCATGCTGTGGGACGATTGCTATCGGTGCAGAAAATATTGGAATACCTCGACAACAGTGCGAGGTTCACCGTGCGCGACTTCCTCGTGCAGTTCGATCACCGAGAATTGGTCGACTGCATTGTCTCCACGCGCATCAACGGCCAGCCGAGCGCTTTTCGTGTGGATGAACTTGTTCTGGCAGAGAAGAAAAAAGAGTGTAAGGATAGCAAGCCCGTTGCTGAAGTGCCTGAGGTCGTGACAAAAGATAGACGGCATTTCGTGCGCGCGATTGCTCACCGCAGTCAGGGTGCACGCAACTACGATGGCGCCAAGTCAACAAAGAAGACCCGCAAGTGGCGCGAAAAAGGAGAATTTCTGCAGCTGTCGCCTGAGGTTGAGCCGCTTTTCGAAGAGCTGCCCCTTGCGAAATGTCACCTCACGGGTATCCGCACTGATCTATTCGAGGTCGGCAGCGCCATGCCCATGGTGTTGAAGTACGTGCGTCACTTCAAGCTGCTGACAAGTTTTGAGCGCGCGTACGCGATACAGTTCAAAGACAAAGCGCTACTCCGCCAAGCTTTCACGCATGGATCGTACGTTGACGTCGGCATGCAGAATGTCAACACAGTTGAGGCCACTCAATCACGCGTCCGTCTTGGACACGTGTTTGAGAATACTGCCTCACTCAAAAGGTCGCGCAGTGCAATGCTGGACGGAAACGTGCCCGCGTCGGGGAAAACACCAGAGAATAGTGCGTCTATGTTGAGGCAGGTGGCGGAGAAGCATTTGTCAGGGGATTACAAGGAGGAATTTCACTCCCGGTATTTGTGCCCGTATGAACGACTGGAGTTCCTAGGAGACGCTGTTCTTGGTTTCCTCGTAGCATCATCTGCGTTTCTGAAGCTGCCGGATGCTGACGAAGGATTCCTCCATCAAACTCGCGTCGACATTGTAAACAACACCAACCTCGGCAAGATGGCAGAAACGGCCAACCTTGAATCGCTGCTGTTGAGCGCATTCGACTTGACAAAGCTGGACAAGGAGGTCAAGGCAAAAATCGTGGCGGACTGCTTCGAAGCGCTGCTTGGTGCGCTCTACAAGGACCAGGGGATTGTGGCATGCCGTGCGTTCCTGGGCAAACTATTGGATCTGCACGACCCCGAGTTACGCGAGCTGTGTTACCTTTCCACAGATGAACTGATGCACGAGGCGAAGGCGTATGTCGAGAAAGACCGGGCTGCTATCAAGAAGTGGAGCAAGTTCACGCATACGCGGCTGCTGCATCGTCGCTTCAGCCTCCAAACGGGGGTAGAAATCGCCAACACGCATCTGTGGCTGCAGGCCCTTACGCATGGATCGTTCCAGAAACCCCAAATCGACGAGGACGAGTTCATCGGGCACGAGCCCAGCTACGAGCGTATCGAGTTTCTAGGCGACGCAGTGCTGCAATTGCTGTCATCCGAGTTCCTCGTTGATGCTTTCCCGTACCACCAAGAACATCTCCTCACGCAAGTGCGGTCTTCACTGGTCAAAAACACAAAGCTCGCGATCGTTGCGCGTGAAGCCGGGTACGAGGAGTTCATTCGGCTGGGAAACATGGTCAAGAAGGATGAAAACTTGTACGTTGAAGACGTGCTGGCCGATGTGTTTGAGGCTTCGCTTGGTGCCGTGTACATGGAAAACCCGGGCGACCTTGGCAAAGTCCGCTCGATCCTCGAGCACCTGCTCTTTCCACGGCTCACGGATGCCATTCGGCGTCGCCAGTGGATGAATGCGCGCAAAGTCTTCCTGCACTACATTACTCAGTGGGGTCGCTCCAGCTCGCGTCGCATTTCGTGTCAGTTCAAGAACATTGCAGTGCCCAGCACGGCCACGACAGCAGAAGTCTTGCGCCCCACGCACAAAGGCGACGGTACTGCAAACGGCAGCAGCCAGACTACAAAAGCGAAAGCGATCGGGCCTCGCGGACATGCCGTAGCTCTCTACGTGAACAATTTCCAGGTGGCACGTGCGGTCGGACGCACAATTGCTGCGGCGCAAGACGCGGCTTGCAAGAAGGCGTTGACGCTCTACGGCGTCAAGCTACATGACGACTAGTCCAGTGCAAGGTCTGCATTCTTCAACACGACCGATCTTGGCGCCTGGGTGGCATGACAAGACACATGCTGGTGAGATGATCCCCAATGCAGGAACGAAGACGATTCTGTTAACGGGCGCAACGCAGCAAACCGGTCGCGACGTGCAATCTAGTCCTAGCTTTTCGACTCTTCCTCGGCCTTCGAAGCCCGCGTCGGCGGTGGTCCAGCAGGCAGTGGCGGCTTTGCTCCAGGCAGCAGTCGCGGTGGTTTCGGCTTGCCAGCGCCCTCAAGCGCTGCAGCAGCCTTCCGCGGCTTGCTCTCGTGGTGCCCGTCGCGCTGGCTCTTCTTCGGTCCCCCGCCGAGCATCTTTGCCGCCACGGGGTCGTTCTTTCCATAGTATCGGTCCTTGATGTTCTGCTTGGCCAGTGGATCGTCCTTGTCGCGCGGCATCTCGTGCAAATACGGACACTCGTCGCCGCGAGTGCACTCTCCGCGCGCGTAGAACGAGCACAAGTGCGCGCGGTTGCGCTTGTAGTACGGCTCGCGACGCGCCAGGCGCAAGAGCGCCGAGCTCCCGGCTCCAGTTGCTTTGCCGTAGACCGAGACTGCGCCTTCTTGCTCGAGCATGCGCAAATGCTGCTGCGAGAACCACTCGCGGTTGGCGTCGCTCGCGGGCACGTTGACCGCCCCGTGGCCGTCGCCTCCGTCGCCTTCTTTGGCCAAGAACGCGTCGCGCACTTGCACCGGCAGGTGGTACTGCAGGTCCAACACGCACGTCTGGCACACGTTCTTCATGCGCGCGCAGGTCTGACACACTTCAGTCTTTTTGTATCGGGCCCGTTTCCCGGGTTTCCAGCGAAAGACCGTGAACGGCCGGGCGCAGATCTTGCACGCGCTGCCGTACGCCTCGCGCATCATGCGCACGTACGGGTTCTCTCCCAGACACCCTTCGCACAGCAGCGGGAACTCGTCCGACTCCCACGCTGTCTTGGTCGCGTCCGCCTTGATGGCAAAGCCGCGCTCGCCCATTCTTGCTGCGCTGCGCGTCCACGCGGAAGGGGGTCGGGTTTGCGTCGATTCATTGGCTGAAATCGGTACGATCCCCACCGGCGACTACCATTGGCTGAAATGAGCACGCGCGAAAAGTAGCCCCAAAGTAGTCGGAACCGCACCAGCGCCGCTACATGCCCTTGTCGCGATTCATGCGCGCGGGGTTCACACGGCTTGCGAGTCGCCGTCTGACGCAGCTGCAAGGCGCCGACGCCTCGCGCTTTCTTCAGGCGGTGCTGACCAATGACATGAAGGACCTGACGCGCCGTGGAGACGCCATCTACGGCGCGTTCTTGAGCACGAAAGGGCGTGTGTTGGGCGACTGCCACGTGCTGCAGGTCCAAGACGACGCGTTTCTACTGGACTACGACAAGGACGTGGCGGATTCGCTCATGAAACACTGGAAGCGCTACAAGCTGCGGATGAAGGTGGCGATCGAGGACAAGACGGACGCGCTGGCGCTCTACGCGACGCTGCCTGCGATTCTACAGGACACAGGGTCTCTGTTGTCGCACGAAGCGTCTCATGAGACGGTCGTTGAGCAGCTACAAACGCTATGGAAATCTCCACAAGACGACGATCGTGCCGTGGTGTTTGCTGATCCACGTGGACACGGCTTTGGTGTCCGAGCGATTGTCCCAGTTGATGCAACACGTACCGACAGCAGTTTGCCGTGGTCTATGGAACGCTGTGCATGTGCTAACAACGGGTATGTGGGTGACTGTTGTCGATTGCGTTTCTTGTAGTTGACGTGCCGCAAGGGTACGCGATGATGGAGCCGTCGGCCTACGTGGATCACCGCATCGCTCTTGGAGTCGCCGAAGCGTGAGTTGCTGAGTGGTGGGCTGTTGCGTGAAGCACTGCCACTTTTCTATTGCTAAGCTGTTGAGCTGTAACAGTGACTGACTGGATGAACTTGTGATGTGGCACAGGACGGAGCTGGTCGACGGGATTCCGCTCGAGTGCAATCTGGACTTGTTGCACGGGGTGTCGTTTCGCAAAGGATGCTACGTCGGCCAGGAGCTCACAGCCCGCACGCAGTTCAAGGGAAACATCCGTAAACGGATCGTGCCCGCGGCACTGGTTCCATCAGACCAGCACGACGTCGTGAAAGCGCTGTCGGAGTGCGCATTCGAGTCGTTGGACTCACCGTCGCTTGCTGCGTTACGGACGTACTTGGCCGAATCGAAGGACTGGAAGGACGTAAAAGCGCCCGTGATTGGTGACAAGGTCGTGGTCACTGGTGACACAAAGGCGATTGGAACGATCTACAATGTCGGCAAAGACGTGAGCAGCGCCATTGTCATGATGCGTCTGAGCCACTTGCTTCCATCCGAAGACGGGGACGTGGTGCCAACGATGAAGTTCTCGACGCAGGACGGTGCTTTCCACGTTGTCCCGTATCGGCCGTCGTGGTGGTCGCCGTTGGATGTAAAGACAGGAAAGATGATGTTGCTGTAACGATAGAGCGGAGCTGCGTTTGAATGGAACCGCAGTCCTTTGGAAAACATGACGCGCATGTACTGCATCCCTTCAAACTTTCTCACTGTGTACTCTACTTATTACATTCACGACAATCGCCAATAGCTCATTTGGACTTTGGAAACATGTTGTTGCTATGGCACGAAGCATTGGGCTCGGACGATGAGCAAGCGACCGACGACGAGCTCCGTGCTCGAGTGCTGTACTTCCACAACGACAGCGACGAGAGTGCAAATGTGGTGCAGAGCCTCTGCTTGGTACAAGGTCTACTGGCGTTTGTGCGAACACTTCGATGCAAGGACTCGAGAGAAGGAGCCACGAGCACCAAATGGACACCCGAGTGGGCGAGTGCGACACTATCGAGTCACAAGATTTTCATCCTGGAGCTGGAGCCGCAGATTTTCATGGCACTGGTACAAACGCATTGACATCGTTACTGCTTCATCGTTGTTGTTGACATTGACGGTTGTTGTTGTTGTTGCTGTTGTTGTTGTTGTTGCTGCTGTTGCTGTAGGGTGTTCGCCCGAGGGTCGAGATTGTAGGAGCTCGTGTTGAGTGCTGCTCTATCACTCTTTTTGCTTCGCTTTCTTCTGCATGTGACGTGAGATGCAGACTCACACTGCTGTTATGTCGAGATAGGATGACCACAGACCAGGATACGAGGCGCTGCTACAGGAGATCTACGGCATGTTCCGGTTGTTTCACGGCAGCATTGACAGGTAGATTGTCGACTGAGTTGAGTTGGCTGCATAGCTGTTGTCGCTGACCATCGGTTCCCGGTTGGCGCTGTAGCAACTTGCGATTTCTACTGCCTTCGGCTGACCAGTCCGTTGCGCTAGACACGACTGGCAAGAAGGATTTGGATGGAATGGATCTCTTGATGGACATTGCTGCAGCGCGAAAACGGCTGCGCAAACTTCGACTTGCAATCGATGAGCACTCTTCCAACAAGGCATTTGATGACACCTGCGGAGTTCCAGACGGACAACGCCATGATGATGAAGTGTTGGCACAGATGCGGGAAGAGGAGCAGACTGCTGAAACAGAACTTGAGGCACTGCTGGCGCGGTCTCCCGCGTCATTGCTGCACAAGAAGTGTACTGCATTCTTTCCCACACTTCTTCAGTCGCTGGACATTCGTGGTGCGAGTGGCTTGTCCGAGTTGCAAGGCCTCACGTACTTCCCAATGGACGAGTCGACGTTTCTGTCCGTGCAGACTTTGGTGAATGGCTTCCACACAGAGTCGCCGTTTTCAGAAGATGGCACGGGAGGCAGTCGTGTAAAGCACTTGACGCTATTTTTCAAGGGCAAGCTTCTGTGGAGCTCCATGGAGACCTCCGTGCTGCATTTGCTGTACAAATTTCTCCGACTTCGGGAAGAGCGTGGAATGACCATACTCCGTGACGACGTACATCGTGATTGTGACAAAGTGCATCCCGGTGTAACATCGAAGAGCGATCGTGAATCTGAGCTCTGGATGGCCAATGCGTACAGCGATACGTTTCGCCCTATTTGGTCCAGCGAGCTCTCGTACGCTGAATGCGATGCAGTCGCTCAAAGCGAAACAGACGGCCCTCACGTGCGGAAGGCAGCTCGCTCGTTGCACAATCAGCATCCAGTACCGCTGTCAATGTTTCTGCGTGGATCTCCATCTCCATCTAGTGGAGCCCGCGGTGCATCTCCTTCTACGACCTCAGACTCTGGTGCTGCAGCAATTCCAGCACAAGCTGAGCTGCCAACTCCATCTCCTGCATCATTGTCTCGTTCGGACAGGCCTCGAAGTAGTGAAATGAGTCACGTGGTCTTCAAGAATGCGCTGAATGCACGACTTAGGTCCGTGTCGCTTCCAAATGCAGGACTGATGCTGAAGAATGGCTGCTATGCGAAGTTACCGGACCGAGAATCCGCACCTGAAAGCGGTTGGAGGGGCATTGAAGAAGTATGGTGTCCTCTCATCTTCCATCCCGACAGTATGCCCACCTCCAGTGCGACCACGCCGGTATCTGCAAGGCACCGAGCAGTGGTCTGGCACGAAGCAGATCTCACAATGATCGCCTTGCTCGGTCTGGACGAAACGGAACTTGGTTCAGCAAGTGCATCATCAGACCTTGTGAAGGCGACCACGCTTGGAACTTTCGTCAACTATCTCGAGGAACAGCAACGATTTCGGATCCTCGCACAGCTCATCCTTACGCAATGCAAAGCTGCAGTGGCTCCCAAAAAGAAGTACGTGCTCTTTCCAACACCACGTCGTGATGTGCTTGACCACGACTGACTGTTGCTGCTTGTTGTTTCCATCCACGTGTTGCAGCACCTCGAGTCCGCATGCGCTTTTTCCCTTCTTGTACATCAACCGCATCAACCTTTCGTTTCGAGTGCACCATGTGCCTCGACTGCTGAAATGCAGCGGACACGACGTGTTCCCGATTCCGAACAAACTATTGACGCACTACTTCCCGACGTCGACTATGGCGCTAGTAACTCAACTCCACGCAGAGCTCCATCGACCGTGGAACACGGGCACTCGAGAGCTGTGTGTCCACACGCGATCCGATGGATGGGTCTACGCCAAGAAGTCCGAAACCTCATGTCGGGCGCTCTACGTCTTTGTTGGCAGCAATGTCTCTTCCGTGCACGATCTCTCGGGTACGTGCGTCTGGCCTGGGCGACTGAAGCCTCTGGTTGCTAACATTATGTGAACAACTGACTTGCAGCGGCCCTGCAGATGCTCCTTCGCGACCACTTTGGACACGTCTCATTCTAACGGACGTCACTGTCGCTTGTACCCACTCACTCACTTGCTCACTCACTGATAGATATCCTCACTCGGTCACTCGATGGAAGTCAACCAATCAACGAACGGTTAATACATTCGCACTGTTGACCACGTTGAAGTAAACCGCCAATCAATGGCCACGATCGGCTCGTCCCTCGGTTTTGCTCGACCAATCAGGTTGCGCGATTCCCATCTTCTCCGTCTCGAGCAAGTGCCAAGTCCTAAGAGGAATAGAAGAAGAAGTATGGCGGACGAGCAGCGCCAACGGGACCGCGCGCAACTCGGCGCTGCGATTGACAGTCTGTCCGACAGTGCGCTAAAGGTCAGCACTTCGCTCGCGCTCGAATGGATTTTCGTTACTGACTGACTGCCTGTCGTCGTGTGTGGATCGCGCGTGATTTGCCTCGAGCCAAACTTACTGTATGATGTTTTGTGGATTGCTCTGTAGACGCACATGCTGACTGCATTGCGTGCGTTTGAGACGTCTGCGAGCTCCACGCAGTCAATGGTCGTGCAACAAGAGAAGGAGAAAGACGATGCAATTGCCGTCAAGTTGAGGGACAAGTCGGCGACTGTGCACGAGCCTCGAGACGCTCTGTTCTTGGCGGTCCACGTGCTGTTGCTGGAAGCTGGTAGAAGAACAAAAGCAGCTGTGTGGTGGACGAGCTGGTGCAACCGACAGCTGTACTGATGTTGATGTGCCCAGGCTACAAGTTGACGGGCACTGTGGGCTCGGAGTTTGCCCTGCCGGAGGACTGGGACGTTAACCGTGCCAACGGACTTTATCAGGCAGAGTATGTGCACCCGAACGACGACTCGATCAAGTTCTCCCTCCAGGTACGTTGGCAGCATGCAGTACTGCAGATGGAGCGTTGTTGAGGACCTGTTGCTGTCGTCAGAGATTGAGATGAGTTTTGATTGAGTCAGGGACTGGTCGTTGGAGGCAAGTTGCAAGTGTACGTGTCGGACGACAAGGACCATACGCACTCGATCGAACTGAGGTGTGTTTTGGTCCTGGACGCGGCTCATGGTGTGCACGCTGAGCTGACCGAATGAGATCGTGTGTGTTGCTGTAGTGTGGACAAGCACGTTGCTTCAAGCAAGTCGACGTCTCCTCTCGCGGCAGCAGACGTGCTTCGAGATCTAAAGACGCTGCGGGAAACGGTGGCACCGTTTGCCGAACGGATTCGACCGGCAAAGAAGAAGGAGAAGCCAGCATCGGCAGCGGGTCGTCCAGCATTCGTGCAACCGCCGCCAAACCGAGATGATCGAGGCGGAGCGTCCGGGATTCCGTCGTCACCTGCTCGCATTCCGTCAGTAAGTTCTCATGCTCGCGCACAATCGTTTGCTATCCGTCCACAAGCTAACCTCCGAGCTTTTGGTGCTCTGGCATCCATCAGGTTGGCAGCGGGGACGTGTTTCCGCCAGGCCTGGGAGGAAGTCGTGGTGGAGGTGGGGGTGGGAACCGGGACATGCTGGTCGGACCCGACCATCCTCTGTTTGGTCACCGTCGTGACCCATCGATGGGTCCCGTCCCTGGCGCACGCTTTGACCCTTTCGGTCCACCGATGAACCCTCTCGGTCCAAGTGGCCTCCATGGTCCACCGTCTCGCGGCCCAGCGCCACTGATGCCATTCGGAGGCCCAGGACCCGATCACTTGCGCATGCCCCGTGACGACGACATGGCCCCTGATTTCGGTGGCCTGAATGGACGTGGCAGTCGCAGCCGAGGGAGCGACTTTTCCCAGCCGTTTGGTGCGAACCACTCGTTTTTCTAACTGTGGTAGTGGCCCATGCAGCATTGTTTGTCACGCAGATGCAGAGGAGCGTCAGCCAGTCAGTCAATCAATCAGACACCAGAAGACGTACGTAACAACGAGCAATAGCACCCACAGCGTTGTTCCAGTCTCTTGTTTGACTGACTCTTGAGTGGATCGGAAGGCGACCGGTCGACCTGAGGGTACGTGTCCCGAGTCTGCACAAAACCAAATCACACGCCATTGAATCAGTCGGTCACACTGCCGATCCACGAACGACATGGAGAACGGACGCTCGTTGTCCATTGCTGAGCTCGTCGCACGCGTCTCTGACACCACAGCACCGCCACGCACTAACGTTACCTGTCTGCTGCAGCTCAAGACCGTTGTGGAGCAGTGTCCGACTTTGGAGTCTCCTGACGACGCCAAGTTGCTCAAGCAGCTCGAGACCGACCTCTTGTCTGGACACTGGCAAGTTACTGAAGGCGATGATGACGATGACATGTCGGAGCTTCATGTTGCCAAGTGGCACTTCCTCACGAGCTTCTTGCGCGTGCATCATGAAGCAGCAGCAGGTCCTGTTTCCGAGCCACAGCTGCAGTCGGTGCTAAGCCTCATGGTGACGGATCGGTTCGTGTCGATTGACGTCTTGGCTGCTATGGCTGAATGGCTACTGCAGCTCAACAGTTACGACGAGTCAGCGGCTTCTTGTCGTGTTGATCTACTGGACGTGAAGGTGGGGCGAGACGACGAGAAGGAGACGACGTACTTGGAGCTCATTAAGCACATGTACGTGACGCTGACGGACTGTGGTCGACGACAGAGACTTGCGAAGATGGTGCAGAAGGTCATGGTCACAAAGGAACATGCCAAGCAGCTCGTGAGGGCCGGAGTGCTTCGCAGTTTCTTGCAGGTGGCATTGGAGCTGGCTGAAGATGACGTTTGTGCTGTGCTGCTCGAGCACTTCAACATGGTCGGGACACAAGTCGCATCGCTTGTTTGTTTCCAAGCAGCAGCGTCATCGTTGGCAGCAACAGCAGGTGCGAAGAACGTGAGACTGGCGGAGACAAAGCGACGAGCGAGTTGCGACCTCGTTGTGAAGCTGATGCTGAGCGGGGTGTCGCTTGTCTTTGCCGATGCAGTCCGGATGCTGCAGTTGTTGATTGACAATGAACGCTGTCGGGTCTTGCTCTCCATGGTGCCTGACCTGCGTGGTGCCCTGGAAAAAGCACGTGCACTAGCAAGACAAAAGAACAGCAAACTGGAGCGCAACGAGTACCTGAGAGAGCTCTGTGAAACGCAGTACAAACGTCTTGTGCCGGAGATTGACGCCTTCGAGCGCGAACATGAGAGCGTTGTCGGGTTGCCTTCAGACGCCGAAATAGGTCGAAGTGGCGATGATAATCTCGAGAACCCGGGGCTGGAATCGGCGACGACGTGCAAAGCGCAAGGCAATGCGTTTTTCCGCCGAGGAAACTATGCCACTGCCCACGCTTTCTACCGGCATGCGATCGCGGTGCTCCGAGCTGCACAGCTTCGAGAAGAGACCTCGCTGGAACTTCTGTCCGTCGACGAAATGCTAGCGCGCTGTAGTATCGGAGCCAGTGTGCGGGTCCGTTCGCACCATGGCAACGACTGGCAGGATGCAATGGTCGCGGATGTTGAACAGACCGGCGCGTCCAGCCAAGTGGAGGTGATGTACGACGCAGACGGCCGAGATGACGAGTGGGTAGCGATTTCGCGTATCCGACTGCGCATGAACACAGCGCTGTTGGCTGCGTTTGACGACCTCGCGGTGGATTGTTTCATGAACATGGGCAAAGCGTTATCTGCTCTCGGTAACCACAACGAATCCGTTCAGTGCTTCACCCAGGCGTTGGCTCTTCGTGGCGGCAAGCTCGTCTCCGCGCTATACTTCCGTGGGGTAGCCAACATAGCTCGTCGCGATCTCACAGCCGCGCATCAGGATCTCCGGAATGCTGATCAACAGTGCAGAACGCAGCAGAAAAACAGCACAAGCGGCGGCACAAGTGAACGCAATACCAAAGACGCCCAGCAAATGCGGGCCTTGCACAAACTGATCGTGGCTGCATACAAGAAGCTTCAGCACATGCACGCAAACAAGAAGCGCATGGACAAGAAGGCGATCAAGCAGATGCTGAAGTACTTGTCCACTATCCCTGGCCTGCAAGATGAGTAGAGCTGTAAGTAATGGTAAGAACGGGGCAAAGCTGTATTCATGCTCACGCAGTAATGACGTGCCGAACCAGATAGCTGCATTAGATAAAAAACCAGAGGCACATGCGAAGCGAGACCTTCGTTCTCTGCGCCACGTTTACGCAGGACCGACACGTATACCCGCCGTGGACTGCTCGTAAGCACACGTCTCCATGAGGATGCGTTGTGTCTTAGGGTGCTCGATGAAAGCTTGCAGCTCGGAGATGGCCCGTTCGACATGACCGTCCTTGTTGTTGTGACACGCATACTCCTCCGCAATGTACTGGTATCGCCGCGCGATCTCTGTCATCTGCAAGTAGAAACATAACACAATACGTCAGAAGTCAGCATCAAGTAGGGCACACTCCACTGCGCATTCAACCATGACAGCAAAAAGACTTGACGAGCATTATGTATCGAACCCTGGCTTTTGACGGTACGCGATAGAATGCCTCTTTCCGCACGTCCAGTTCCGCAAATGCCTTGGCTAGAGGATCCGTCTGTTGCTGCTCCATTGCTTCGTCTTCATCGCCACGCAGGAAACGCGAGACCGACGTGGCCACTTTTCCAAGTTTGCCCATGAACTTGGCCGATATCTCCTTGGCTTTTTCCGACTGCTCGGCACTCAAAAACGACAGCAATTGCGTCGTCGTGTCAGCTCTCCCCGCCGTGCCACTCTGATTATGTCTGCGTTTATGTGAACCTGTCTCGTCAATCATAATGCGCAGATCATTCACGATCTCATCCGTGCGCTGACTCAAGAACGTTCGGCAGGGCAACGTCCTCTGCTTGAAAAATAGTGTCACGGACTTGCCTCTCTGCGGCGTAATGCGCACCACGTCCTGCAGCGAAATGAGCTCTTGGACGTACACAAACTCGCTACCTTTGGCTTCGCTCGAGGGCACGAGCAGTGCAATGTTTCCAGACTGCACCAACAGTGGCGTCTGCTTTAGCACCGACGTTGTAAAGTCCACTTCTTGACATGGGTACACAATTCCACGAACGTCTTGTTTGCGCATGCGAAGCAGCTGCTTTTTCTTTGCGTGTTTCGTGGTGTAGCCATGTGGTGGCGCTACTTTCTTGTCCACCACTGGCGTAGACGGCGTCGGGTCGTGCTGCTGCACCAACTGGAACAACTGCTCCACCAGCATCGTCACGGTAGTCGAGGGCCTCCAGTGCTCTAATAACGGTAACTTCAGTCGATAAGTGGGGTCTTCTCCAGCGACTTTAGGTCCTTTTTGTTCCCGAAGGTCCGGGGGCAGGTAAAGAGCGCCATGACGAACGTCGATTTCCGGGGCTGCAAATGGGTACTGCACTTGACCCAAATCCACACGAGGGTCCAAAAAGGGCATTCGAACGACCAATGTCGTCAACGGGACCAAAAAGAGCGCGTCCGAGCCGTCGACGAACGGGACGAAGCAGTGGAACTCGCCTTCGCACACGCCGCGGGGCTCCGACAGCTGCACGCGTCGCAGCGTAGCGCCACGAGGCAATGTCCCATCGACACGGCATTGCTCCAGCTCGTGCTGGACGCGGGTGTACCAGATATGGCGCTGCCGCGTCGGCGACGACGACGACGACGACGACGAGGAGGTCTCCGTTACCATGTTTGCATTTCTAAAGATGGGTGGCGTTTCTAAAACGACCGATCTTGTTGGGGTCCGTAAGTAGTGGGATCTGGCAAGAAAAACCCACGACCTGCTGCCGGGGGTTTCCACTTGATTGGGTCGACGACGGACGCGCTCAAGACGATTGCTGATTGGTCGATAATGCCATACCGACAAATACACGGTCGCTAGTCGAGGGGTAGCCCACCTTCTGCGTTGGACCGCACGACACGATCGATCGAAGTCATTTACATGATCATTACAGGAACACCTCTTTGCTCCTCCGTCGATAAACAATCCCACGTCGTGCCGTCGACGTCGTCTCTGTGTGCGATTACATACCACCTCGTCCACTGCCACACGGTATCGTCTTGTGTATTACTAGCACTTGGTCTACTCCGCGTCCTCGTCCATGCCCTCGAGTCCCTTGAACAGCGTCGTCTTGTCATTGTGCAAGTAATTGAGCTCGTCAATAATCGACGCAAGCAGTTCGTTCTTGTCGTCCATCTTCAGTCGTCCATTGTTCATCATGGACAGCTTCATGATCTCGAGCGCCTCCTTGTCCGGATGGTCTGCTGGAACCTCGACGTCCATCTCCGGCAGCTGAATGTCGTCAATGTGGCCCGTGTGGCCCATGCGGGCAAACGCTTCCGTCAAGATCGCCTCGAGCTTCTCGCCACTCGGCGGCTCGCTCGGGATATTCAGCAGGTCCAAGAACAGGTCCGACGAGGTCGTCGTTGCGGGCCACGACTTGTCGTCCATCATGGCCGCAGGCTCCTCCCACTCGCGATGGAAGTCCTCCGTGTCCACATTGTCCGGGTTGAACTCCCGGTACCCGCGCTCGCCTGTAGTCTCCATGTACTCTCGATACGGGTCGTACAGGTCACCGGTCTCCTCTTCAGGCTCAGCGTCCTTCGCATGGCGGCGTCGAGAGCCATACGTCGCGTTGTCGTTGTCGTCGTTGCCGTTGCGACGCGGACGAAAGGCAAAGCCGCGCGCAGTCGGGAGGCTTTGGAGCGCTGGAACGCGTCCAGTCGCTCGCTTCGTAGCTGTCCGCAGGAGTGCGAGCGCCGTCACCATCGATCGATCGTGGAGAGAGAGCTCCAATTGGGCAGTTTTGGTCCTGTAAATTGGGTATCGAGTCGGACAACAAACGCCATTCGGCAGGCGCGTGCGTGGCAGTATTGGGTGGCGCACACCGATTCAAGTGGACCACGTCAGGCACAGCACGGATGGCTTCAGGATGCAGTATGGACGGACAGCTAGATACTGCAACTTCAACATCGCGTTATCAACGCAGCAGCGACTTCTAGGGACGACATTGTACCAACGGGACCAAACGTATCTTGGACTGCACACTCGTGAGAGATGAGCAAACGGACGACGTGAGAGATGATGGCTACGCGCAGACCTCGGCAGATTCGTGCAAGTACTTGTGACGCTGCAACTCCGGCACTTGGACCTGCTACCGCTTTGAACGCAATCACTGCAAGTGCCCAGAAGCTTATACGGAGGCAAGAAGACCAGCAGTACTGGAGGTATCTGGAATCACATGATGGCGATCCAGCAAAGCGCGTCAGAGCCGCTGCATCGAGGAAGTCAGCGACGCAAGTGTTCGATCGAGCGTCGGCTTCCTCCTGCTGCTGCTGCTCCTGTCCACTCGAACATAAGTCTGCTGCATGACGCGAGCAGACATCGTTCTGTCGTATCTGGATGTTGTACTTGACTGCGCCACCATTGAGACCATATTCGCTTGTCACGTTGTCGTCTAAGAAGATTATCACTGGGTGGTAAGATGAGCTGCAACGATCTCTTTGCGGTTTGGTCTGACACAAAGTGTACCGCAGATCATGCCGCATACCGCGCGTTCATGGCATGCATGTGGTCGCACGCTTTCCATTCCTTCCGCAGACTGGATCAATGCTTGCGTGGAGGTGCGGGACTTGCTGACACAAAACCTGGCCGGAAGTTGCGAGCACAGCAGCTGGAACATCTAGAAGCTGAGACATTGTGGCCTCCCTTGTGCCACCGGTCTCTGGCAAAGTGGAGGTGATGATGCAATCCATGCACCGGATCACGGCCCACTGTTCGCTCTGCAAATGCTGTGCTGTCTCTCCGCGCATTTGTTCTCGATGACCCGCGAAGTGGTAGTCGAAATGACACAACGCAGGACAAAGCATTCCGTCCGGTTCTGTCCGCTCACCAGTCTTCCAACAACGTCTCCATCTTGTTCTCCGCACACAAATGCACTTCACATCCAATGTGCTGCAATCACTGCGCGTCTCCGCTGGCCCCGTCATGATCGCTATGACAAGCTCATATACATCTAAATGAACACAACCGGAAGAAGTTGACCTGGCTCCGCACAAAAGGGCGAACGGACTATGAGCGACAGCGAGCCGCCCGCCAACTGCAGATTGATTGAAGCCGAGACTCAACATGTACGTGTGTATGCTTTCTTTCCTTCGCGGCTTTCCTTCCTGAAGCTTGACGATGCGTTTGTTTGCTTCCGCACTATAATGCTGTCATCAATCGATCGAGACGCCGTCGCTCCCGTACCATAACTTCCTCACGGAAGTATGCGGCGAGGAACTTGTTGCTACTCAAGAAGCTGCGAAAGGTCTCTCCACCGATTTCGACCACTTTCACAGGCTGCGTACACCGTACACTCGAGTGACGAGTGGCAATCTTGCACGGCTCTGTTTGGCCCGATACGCCCAGTGGAAAGTAGTCTCCGGGGTTCAACTCTTCCACAACGACTCCTTCTTTTGCTTTCAGCACTTCTACTTGTCCATCCAGCAGGATAAATACCGAGTCGCATGGATCGCCTTCCCTATAGATGAAGTCACCAGCACCAAGCGTGCGCATCTTCACAGACCCCTTCGCAGCTTCCACACATCGGAGCAAGTGCTGCTGGACATGGCGGTGCGCGGTTTCCTCAAGACGATTGTTGATGGACTCGTATGTCCCCTTCAAGTTCAAAAAGTCATCTGCTACAAGCTGCAACACTTTACAGGGCGTGCTACTGCCTCCAGCGCAACGATAGGTGGCGATACGAGGCAGGAAGCGTCCATCCGGACGCACCAACTCGATCTCGCCAAAGAAGGTCCCCTTTGGTAAACACCGGAGCTTCATTTCTTCACTCCCCGATGTATTCGATTGCGATTGAATAAAGTCTGGCCAAGGTGGGCGTGGCACGGACCCAGCAAAGCTATCCGTGCGGTCGAGCGACGACGTGCTTGCTGTACGATCGTCTTCGTCCATCTCGTCGGTCGGTTCAGACTTCTTTATCGGGTTCTTGCACGAAACTTCAACCTCACCGTCCAACAGCAAGTAGACGTTGTGAGAGCCAGCATGTCCTTCGCGAATGATAGCTTCCCCGGGACGGTAAGTAGCAGATCGCAGCGTAGATATGGTCATCTTCACATTGTCGTAATCGACAGCCTCTACAGACGACGCACTTTGCTCGGGGTCACCACTGGCCCCTACAAGCATCTCGTTCAGCTCATTTTCACTCATGTGCTTGCCCAAACTCTCACTCACGCGCGCAAGATCGTTCTTGGAAATAAACCCTTTCCCCTCTTTGTCAAAGAAATGCAAAGTCGATAGAAGCGCATTGGTCTTCTCGTTCAGCGCTTCGACGCTGGAACTAAGTCCCCAAGCAAACGTGCGCTTCACACTTTCCAGCTCTTGGTTGTCATCTTCGTCCAGATTCTCAGCCATGGCATCGATCAGAAGAACCGCCAGTATACTCGCACGTAAGCGACGACGTCCACGCTGGAACTTTTCCAGCAGCTCGGCCGAGTTTTTCATCGGCTCTGGGCTAACTTGGAACTGATTACGCAGCCACGCGTGGTGAAGTGCTTGCTCCGCACTCAATCGCTTGTCAGGGTCAATCTCGAGCAGCTTCTGGATCAAGTCACGAGCGGACGGCGAGATCGATTGCCATGCTCGGGACTGTGTGCGAAACTTTCCTGTAAGAATTCGCCTCCGAATCTACACACAAGCAAACACAAGCCGTTAACAGGGTCACGTCCATGTCGCAACGCGTTGCTAACATCCTACCTCTTCATCGGGTAGATTGTTGTACGTGTCAAAAGGATGGGAGCCACACAACAAGATGTAGAGCACGATCCCTAGTGCAAACATATCGGACTTAGGGCCAAACTTGATCGTGCTTGGACCCACTTGGTCGTCAAGATCCTCATCGTTTTCGTCCAGCGGCACAGCATCTTCATTTTCTCTGTCTTTTCGTAGTTCGTCCCTAACATTCCTTCGATGGATCAGCGCACCATGCTCCAGTGTTTCCGGCGCCGCATACGCAACTGTGCCCATCAAATGGGAGTCACAGAAGAATCGCTCGCCCATACGAAAGGATACGCCGAAATCCACGAGACACATGCGTCCTTTGTGCAACAAAATGTTCTCAGGCTTGATATCGCCATGCACGATGCCCTTGCGGTGCAGGTACTGCAATGCATCGCACAACTGTCGAATCGTGTCGCTTGCCTGTCGTTCCGAATACGCTCCATTCGCCACCAAATGGTCAAACAGCTCGCCACCTTGAGCCAGCTCTTGTACAATAAACCAGCAGTCCTCAGTCTCGTACGTGCCTCTCAGCTGCAAGATATTCGGGTGTCGCCCAGCCACGCGGAGCACGTCTACTTCACTCCAGAACTCCCTGGCAGATGTTTCACTCTTGCTCAGCATCTTGACTGCCACGACTTCGCCCGTGCGTCTGTCGACGCCCTTCTGCACGACACAGTAGCCCCCTTCGCCCACGACTTCGTCCAAGATGTCGTACTCGTCGTGTATATTGCCGCCGCGGCGAATAACCTGATCGCTTTGGCTTTCCAGAGCTGCCTCTGAGTCCAGCGATAGTGAAACGTGCGCGAGTGCACAGCCGCCAACGACGACGCCCAGAGCCGCAACGTGGCGCCACGTTGTCCATGAGGTCTTTGCGCCGCTATTGCAGATCGTACATAGAGCGACATCGCGCTGGAGGTGGCGCGACAGGCGGTCCAGTCGCTGTCTCGCGCGATTGTTCCCCTCAATGCTTCGGAACACCGTCCGACACGCTCGTTTGCCGTCGTGGAAGCACTGGCGCAGCATTACGAGCGCGATGGGACGAGTGGGCTGATGCATCCACAGTGTACGCGCAAGTGCAGAGACGGTAGCGGTAGACGTAGAGGAAGAGAGAGAGAGAGAGAGAGAGAGAGAGAGAGAGAGAGAGAGAGAGAGAGAGAGAGAGAGAGCGAAGAGCTCTCCGTGCAGCAGATACGTTGGCAAAAAAAATGCGGTTTTGCGAGATTCGGGTCGTTATTGTACCAGTGGGTCACGTGACGCAAAAGAGAGTGTTAATCCGAGTGGGGCGAGGGCTATTTGGGAGTCGGAATGAGCGGAAAGAAGGGCTGACTTTCTGTCGCTGTCGCTGTAATTTAATCAGTGCTTTCACTCGACTCTGTCACACGTTTGCTCTGACAGCGCTGCGTCACATATGTACCCAAAAGAGCTGCGAACGAAAAGACGGACGCGTCGACGAACGCCGTTCCGTGCAAACGTCGACTCGGGCAACTTCGTGTGGGTACATTTCTCGCCATTGGAACTGTCGATTGGTCGGCTCCTCTTTGGCACATGGCAAAAACGATGCTGTCGTCGTGGTAAAAGGGCTACGCAACGTCGTACCCATAGCCGCTACTCCACGATCCGTTCAATCCATGTGCAGCATCACGATAGCTTCGCAGTCGTCTGACCGTCGCCATTGTGCGGCTCCCACTGGATGAAGGAGCGCTCGTAAGAAGTTTGGGTTGATGGTGATGCTCAGCGACAGCGGCAATGGCGTTTTCGTGACCAGGTCTGGCACGAGCAATGAGGGACGTACTCAGATCGTGTTCGACTCGGCTTACTACTCCCCCCTGCGTATTCGGTAGTGGGACTGGTCAGTACTTAGCATCGAGGTGTACGCTTGCTGGGGCTTGGGTGACATACGTGATGACAACACGTCTTCACGCGGCGGCTGTCAGCTGTCGGGAACTATGCGGATCGAGCAGAAATGAGTATTTGGCTTTGTCTAGCTTCTCGGCAGCGCCTTCTGGTCGTCAAACATGTGGACTTGACCCATACGCACCGGAAAAGCGAATGCGCCGAACCACCTGTTCTCCACTATTATCGCTGCAAAACTAAGAGTGGCGAAGTAGTTGGCTTTCATATGTGCGCAGCGACACTGTTTATTGTGCTCACTCCGAGATCGATGTCACGGCAGTCGACCGTGTTTGGCCATTGTGTTGGCATTGGATGGAGACATCTGTACACTGGAATCACGCAGGCTTCGTTACTATAGTAACGCGAGGGCGCAGAACAGAGCTCTCTTGTGCCCTTTTCAGATTGACAACCTGTTGTCAATGTGCAGTCTTGGGGAAGCGCTCGCTACTGCATCTCAGCACGCCAACGACACTCGGGCCCGTTCCGACGTTAAACGACTTTCTTGGTACAGAGCAATGAGCGAGTCTTGAGTCCTGTTCCGCGTCTGCAAGTTCCATTGTCATACTCATCTCGACAGCATTGACGTTCGTGCTCATCCCTCAGCCTCTTCGAGATGTGACAGAAGCGATCACATGTTCAAAGCTATTGCGCACGCGTGCCAAAGACTGATGGCCTCCAGAATGTGCGTGGTCCTTGGTAGTGCATTATTGCAGTCCACAGCCAGCGTGTCTACATACACAAGACAAAGTGATCAGCACGTGGTGTTTGGAAGCAAACCTTGACAACGCACATGCACAAACCAGTCTGAACAGCCTCGCGTCCTCGCGTCTGTTTTCGATCGCGTACAAATACCTCACTGACAACAATCAACTCGCTTACACTTACTCCAGTCTCATGACACCTTCGCGCAGCAATTGCCTCATCGACCAGCCCGTTGGTCGGTTGTGTCCGTCGTCCGAGTGGCGCCACGACCAAAAGATCCATCCCGCGTGAGCTTTGCTGAACGCTTTCAGCTGTGCCGATGCAAACTGTCGAAGTCCATGGCGGTCTTCACTTGGGAACGCACAGCTCTGGGCACCCAAGCTCCACTCGTCAATAAGCAGCCAATTGCCGCTCCACGAAGCGACCTGGTCACCGTAGCGGCGGACAGCTTGTAAAACTTGCTTCCGACTCTGGCCCTCGTATCCCCATAGAAAATACGGGTGCCATTCGTGCCACACGTTCACAAATGCTGGAAAGCGCATAAAGTCTTGCATACATGGCGGTCTCTGCTCGGTCAACAGCGGCGCAATCGTCAGCACGCAGTCGTTGCCCGTCGCCCGAATCTCCGCGTACGCGCGTTCGTAGTAAGATCGAAGCACGTGCTGGTCCGTCGGGTGCTCCGGTTCATTCAGCAGTCCAATGCCAACAAACGATGGGCAGTAACGGTACCGCGCCGCCAAGAACTTGGCCAAATGCACTGTGTTGTCGACATTTTCCGGGTACTGTCCCCAGTACGGGACGCCACTCGTGGGTGCAGCACTATGGTCGCGACCGTTCTGCGAGCCTTTTGCGGCATGAATGTCCACGATCACGGGCACGTCGTGCTTGACGCACCACTGGTTCACCAACTGGTCCAAGTACTGCAACGCGTGCGGGGCAAAGACTGTCCACTCTTGTTGGTGCGACACGTCCGTGGGGTCGTCGCCCATGATCCAGTACCCCACGGGCACGCGCACGACGTTCAGTCCACAGCGCTTGATCTCCGCAATGTCCGACTCGGTGATCCACGTCCGCCGGTGCTCGTCGAACCGCCGGTCGCCCTCTACGTGGCCCAAGAACTTCATCGTCGCGAACTCGCCCTGCGCTTTGATCGCGTCCGGGACGTCGCGCCACACACAGGCGTCCCACGTCATCCAGTGCTCGGCCACTAGCCAGCCCCCGAGGTTGACGCCGCGACAGGGGACGTCGCCGCGACGGAGACGAGTTTGGAGCGACGGAGACGACGACGACGACGATGGGGCTGCCATGTAGAGGGCGAGCAGAGCAGGAAGAGAGAGGTCGGTGTCGTTGGCGTCAATGGGACTCGCAGATGGGTTCGGACGGTGTGGCAGCGTGCGTGGGTGCGTGGGTGGTGCTGGTTAGAAACGTTTCTAAGGAGGACCATTGCCGAACGAAGCGGTGGGTTGATGGCGTTTCGTATGCACTCGGATGATTACGCAGGTGTCCAGCGACATTGCGGGATGCCGGATGCGGGATGCGGGATGAGGGGATAAAGTTTGACATTCCAACGGTCCATCAATGTGTTTCTGGATGCTGCGTGTATCGCACCAGAACGATCAAGTGGTCAATTGAGCGTCGTAGGAGCTTCATGCCATAAGATTTGGGCAAATGGTACGTATGGTATCGACTGGGAGCGATATGACCGCATTCACCCAATGTACATAGCACATCAGTGTCGGTCGCTGCAAGTGTCGGTCGCTGCAATATCCGCGTGATAGCCATATCTGCCGAAGGTCGTACGAAACGACTGACCAGAACGACAACGAGCCGCAATGGACCACGAGTGCCGACGAGAACAGCGTGTGCTGAAGCGACTGTTTTGGACTGGGTATCGATCACGTTCAGCACTAGCAATCACGAGGAAGAAATGTCGCCGATTCGTTCCAAGCTGAGGCATCCGTTGCTTTATCGCATCAACCACGAAATCAATTGATCTGTCGAGCGGTCTACTCGTACGATGGTGGCAGCACAGGTTCGACCAAAGGCTTTGTCTGCATAGGTACAGCTAAGTCTCATGGCGCACTCGGTCATCGGCGACCTCTCCATCGAATCGTTTTTTCTGCTCGGTGTGCTTTGTGTCGTCGGGCCAGCTGCACCAGCGATGCGACTACCTGACTCCTTGGGCTTTTCCTGGCTGCAAGATGCGCATGCGCAGGACACCGGAGCTCCATTTCGTAGCTTTGCATCGTGTTATCCGCTCAATCGACAACTGGATCGAAGGAAATCGTTGTGCTTAGCTGTACTGTAGTCGCATCGACACCCGATCTTGGGATCCAGACGCTCGTCTTGGAATACCCACGTAAAGGCCCTCCTCCTCCTACTACTACTACTACTACTACTACTACTACTACTACTACTACTACTACTACTACTACTACTACTACTACTACTACTACTACTACTACTACTACTACTACTACTACTACTACTACTACTACTACTACTACTACTACAACTACTACAACAGTGCTCGTCCAGCCAAGTGACGAGAGTAAGTATACTCCACACACACATTAATGCCACATCTGATAGAGGCGATCGATCGATCGATCGATCAACTGACCCGCTCGGGTTCGTACCGACCATCAAAGTCCTCGCCAGACAACGCCATGTCGGCAAAGAGCGCTTTCGTGGCGCTGCAAGACCGTTTCGTGAGCTCCTTAGCAATCGCTTACTGCCCCAGTATGGACCTCGTGGCACTGATCACTCCGGACCGTGACCTTCTCGTCCATGTGCGTAGATTTACAGTCCTCTTGTGTCGCCTTTCTGTTTGTCTCGTACCCGTCGTCAATAAGATTGCCCATGAACTCGGTCAAATGTACTGACATTCTGCCACTCACTCGGTCTCCATTTTGTGCGCTCTTTGGTATCGCTGTAGCGCACGACGTCGTGGCAAAAGTTACTGCACTGTAAAGCATCGGCCGTTGGCTCGGAAATGGTGACGCTGGCGTGGAAACCCGATGGGCTGCACCTCGCAGTTGGATGTGACAGAGGAGACGTGCTCATCATTGAAATCGAGTCGGGTGGGGTCGTGCCAAGAGCGTGCAGTACCTTTTGTCATGAACATTGTGTCACTGCAATGCACTGGGTCCAGATCACGGAGACGATGGAGCAGAATGGACGTTGTAGCGAGCGAAAACGGCGATGTCGAAACAGTTCTGGTGCTGTGGGTGCCGCACGATGCGCTCGTGACGTGATGTCTCAATCGAAAGTCCAGTTTCAACGTCGAGCAGCGAGGTTCCTTGCAGGATCCCGTGCGACGACTAGCTTGGATACGCTCCTCGTTACTGCGGACAAACAGGGATGCATTGCATTGTGGTGGATGGGGCACGTGCTGCTGACTCGTGTCGATCTGAGGAAACATCTTACTGACGAAGAGCGTCGACTACTGGACCGAGTGGGGCAGGAACAGAGTGATGTGGAGACGTTCCGTGTCGAACGAGTGAGTGTCGTGCCCGACTTGTCGCTTGTGGTCGTCCTGCTTGCGTTTTTTAGTAGCACGAGAGGCCACGTGGACGACGCGATGCATGCTTCGAAGTCGTATCGCATGCTGAGTCTCGATATGACGGCTCTTCAGCGCATTCGCGAGGATGTGGCACTTGTGGCGAGCACAGTTGGCTGCGTGCACACACTGCTGGATCGGATCGTCAGTTGCAATAAGCAAATGAAGACGGAGTGGAAAAACGCTACACGCGTTTTTGAGCTGAAGATGGGACTTATCGGGTCGCTCTATGAGAAGTACGCGTGTGAGGTGACGCCGCAAGAAGACATGTTATCGGTGCTGGTGAGTGGCATCGCACCGCCTGTGCTGGCCCAGTACTTCGCTCAAGACATTCAAGAGATGGTACGTGCAGACACATTCGCTGAAACTGGCAGAGGTTATCGCGTGTCTTGATCGTTTTGGATCGCGTGTGTGGCTACTAGAGTGTGCATCGAATGCAGAAAGCGATGTGTAGTGGTTGTGACTCGCTTCGGACGCTTGCTGAGGGTACGCTGAAGCAGGCTCTAGTAGAGCTACTGTTTCGATTGTCGGAGATACGTGGTCACGCCAAGTGGAAGACTCAAGAGTATGCAAATACGTTGGGGATCACTATCTCTGCTCTCGACGACCTTGTCCGAGTTGTGGAAGACGCGCTTGTGGAAGTGGAGACGCTTATACTGGCGATACACGAAACGCTGCTTGACTTTGCGCTGTTGTTCCAGTGGATGATCGAACGTATCCGCATCCACACCAATGTGCATCGACGAGGAGGTGACACAAGTGCATCAGGGCTTGCCGGATCCAACGCCAGCACTGCCACTGGGCCAAACTCGCTTCTCAACTTGCGGCGCCTGTGTGACTTCTTACAACGTGCCGCAGAAGCTGCAAAACGTTTTCGCAAACAGCAGCCGAGTCCAAGCACGTACAAAGTGGAGACCACGTTCGGCAACCCGGTGTCTTTGCACCTTTCAGCTCGACAAGTTCCATCAAGCGATAGTGCGCAGAACCCAGCGGCAGGATGCTTTGATGCCTTGACTCAGTCGATGCAAGAGCAATGGCTGATCCTGCAGAATGCAGTGTCTATCACACTCGCGCAAACGATCAGACGTGATCCGAGTGGATGCTTCACGATTGGGAACAGCAATAGCGTTGTCGACGAATGCCGTATCCATTTCCGGAAGCCGTTCAGCGAGCAAAGGTCGGACGATATTGCTGAGATCGCTGATGGGAGCAGTGACGAAGAGAGTGAGGAAGAGACGGTCGATTGGGACGCCCTCAAGTATTACGGACGCCTGCCGGATGACCAGACGGATTGTAGTACAATGCTAGTGGGCTTTCGACTCCGATCGGGTCTTCTACTACTGCTGCGTGCATCTCAACGGGAGGATTACCGTCCACTTCAACACGGGACGCCTTCACGCTTAGTTTGGGATGCTGCAGTCATCCGCTTCTCGCGAGAGTCTTCCGAAGGTGCTGTCACGTGCCAAGCATTTGACTTTTACGGCGATGGACCATCAGACAAGCAAGAACAGCTCGCATTTGTGCTGGATTGCGTGGCAGACGGCGGCAAGGGACATGAAGGTTGTGTATCTGACGAACAACAACAACCAGGACAATTGGTTGCGTCTTTGTGATATGTGCACTAACTGCTTCTGCTGCTGTTGCTTGTTCTTATAGCGTGGCTGTACCTGCAGTCGTACGACAACGTTGCGTTCTCGTGCACGAATGCCGCAATGCCACTTGAGGTATGACACGAATACTTGCCGTATCGATACGTCCTCGTGCTCACCCTGATTGTCTCCAGGTCATCTTAGCTCAGTGCGTCACTCTTACTATTTCGCTCGACCCAACTCGAGGACGACGCATCGCTTCGTTGTCGACGCCCGTGCAAACCAGTGGAAACGCGATTGCTGTGACTGCGACCGGTGCTCGTGGAGTTGTGTGCGTCACTTTGCCACCTGCTCGCTTGGTCATCTTGGACGCAGAAGACAGCGGAGACGACGAAGACGATGATGGCGATGTTGTCAAGTGATCCTGCATGAGACTCGCGGTAAACGCAGAACGGATCGAGCACTATCTCGTCTTCTCATCGCTGTCCTACGTCGGCTGGCAGTCCACCTCGGTCGTTGGCTCTTTTGTTGCTTGGATGCCATCCGACAACCAATGTGAGTTGGGAGCTGGCATCGTTCTCGGCGTAGCAGCTCTCGAACCGAAGCTGGTCATGCCGTTCGTGCACAGACTACGTCTTGTTCGGAGGACCAGCGCTGGACGTGCGTACCCCTGCCGTCGAACTTGCGCTTCATCAGAGCGAGCAGGACTTTCGACGTGGTGGAAAGGTGCTGTTTGCACACACCTGGTCGACGTAGCCACTCAGTGGAACGGACGCTCGTTCAGTGACGAGAATTCCGACGATGGGGTGTGTATGCGCCAAAGTTGGCGACAGATCGGCACGATTTCGTCAACGCTTGACCTCACGAACAAGCACATGAGCTGTTCGAAGTGCACCGTCCTTCGGGATGCCAAAGCGACGGCGTGACAGTGACCAGGAGCTGACATCCAAACGGTGCACAAGAACTCAAATGTGCTCAATCTGTCTGCAAAGGTGATCCCGATGAGCTGCAGGTAGATGGAAAGCAGACCACGGCCAAGCGTGGAGCCACTCGCTACGTACGCGTCAAACACGGATCGAAGTTATGTTCGCGCTACCATCATCGCTGACAGTGCTGACGTTGCGTACTGCCAGCGCGGCACTGGATCCGGATCGACCTGTTGGCAGCTGACACTATGATGCACAAACGCTTCGTCAGCGTGTTCAGGCAAAGCAGTATATTGTCGTTGCAAGCACACATCGCTCGGATAGTACCTAGGTACATCTAGAACGGCATTTCCATGCCCATGCCCTGAGCCATTTTAGCCATTGCACCGGGATCCATGCCTTGCATCTGCTTCATCACCCGTACCAAGTTCTGCGGGCCACCCATTTGTGCCATCACCCTGGGGTCAATGACCTTCGATAGCTGCTGCATCACAACGTTCGGGTTGCGCGTCATCTGCTTCCCGAGCGCAGCGTCCCCTGTCTTCATGAGATTGCTCTTGCCCATGCGACTCACCACAGCGGCAAACTGCTTGTGGCACTTCAGCAGGAACCCCACCTCAACCAGCTGGCAACCCGAGCCACGCGCAACACGCATCTGGCGCGAGTCCGAGAGCGGGACGACACCGTCCAGCTCAGCATCCGTCATACTGTCCATCATAAAGAGAAACCGCCGAAGTCGTTTCGAAGCCTCTTCTTCGCCTCCGCCCGTGTTCATCATCTCGCTCATACCCTGAGGCAAGCCCGGAATCATGGCCATGACTTTGCTCAACGGACCAATCTTCATGACGCTCTGGAACTGTTTGTACATGTCTCGCAGCGTAAACACGCCCTTCTGGAACTTTTCGACCATTTCCTCCTGGTTATCAAGCATGCCGCTCGTCTTCACTTCCTCCATCAGGCCTCGAATGTCGCCCATTCCCATGAGCCGACTCACAAAACTATGGGCGTTAAACGCTTCAAAGTCCACAAAATGTTCGCCCGTGCCGTAGAAAATAATCGGCGACCCCGTTGCGGCTACGGCACTGAGCGCACCGCCACCTTTTGCATGACCGTCGAGCTTGGTGATGATCACACTGCCCACGTGCACCGTCTCACGGAACGCACTTGCTTGGTCAAACACGGCTTGGCCGATCGTCGAGTCCATGACAAACACAATGTCGTCCGGCTGGACGGCTGTCGAGACCTCTTTCATTTCTGCAAACAAGTCGGCCTCCTGCTTATGACGACCGCTCGTGTCGACCAGAATGATCTCATAGTGCTCGGCACGAAACTGCGCCACGCCTTCTTCGGCAATACGAACCGGGTCGGCTTCGGTGTAGCTCCCGTAAAACGGGATCCGCAGCTTCGTCGAGTTCTGCTTGAGCTGATCAAAGGCGCCAGCACGGAACGTATCGGCACAGACCATGCACGTTTTCCAGCCCTTGCGCTGGTAGTAGTGGGCAAACTTGGCAATGCTCGTGGTCTTGCCGCTGCCCTGGAGCCCGACAAACATGACCACGTTGCTCTGGCCCTTCTTCATCTTGTAGGGCAGCGCCTCCGGCTGCAGCATGAGCACGAGCTGGTCGACGAGCGACTTCTGGATCAACCGGCGGCGGTTCACGCCCGAGCTCGCGTCCTGGAGGTTCACAGCGAGCTTGACGTTGTCCCGGAGCTGACGCACGAGACGCACTTGGACGTCGGACTCGAGCAGCGCGCCGCTGATCTCCTTGAGCAGCGCGTTGAACACCTCGTCGTCGACGACCATCGACCGGTTGAGCTTGGCGAGCGCGCCCTGCAGCTTCGACCCGAGCTCCGAGAGCACCATACTACCTGTCTGCCTGTCTGTCTGTCTGTCTGCCTACCTGTCTGTCTGTGTGGTAACAACCTGTCTGTCTGTGTGGTAACAACCTGTCTGTGTGTCTGGTAACAACCTGTTGCTGGCTCCTTTGCGTCTCTTTTTAATTGGGAGCCGATGATGGGTCCCCCAGTGGGTGACTGACCCCCCCCGGAGGTTGCGCCAATGTGGACGGAAGGTGCCACCGAACGCCGTGCTGGACCCGTTGCGGGTTTGATCGGAGCGCTATGCTGGATCAGAGGTTCGCCTTCTCGCGCCCGCCTTTTCTTGTTCGGTGGGCGTTGGCTCTCGACTGCTGGATCGCTTTCGGCCCATGTCCCCGTCGCGACTCCTGCGACCGTCTGTGTTTCTAAGTCTCTCGGCAGCGGCTCTCGCGCGTGCACCTTATTCCTTTGCTGCTTCGTCGACGGTCGCGTCTGGAATGGCCAGCCGTAGCAGTAGCACGTGTGGCAGTAGCCCGGGCGTGGCGAAGCTGTCGGAAGAAGAGTGGAAGAAGCGGCTGACGCCAGTGCAGTACCAAGTGCTGCGGCTCAAGGGCACGGAACGAGCGGGCACGGGAGTGTACAACAAGCACGAACAGACGGGCGTGTACGTGTGTGCGGGCTGCAAGACGCCGCTGTATTCGTCGACGACCAAGTTTGACTCTGGCTGCGGCTGGCCCGCGTTCTACGATGCGATGCCCGGGGCCATCCGGGTACGGGGCCGAGTCGGTAGCAGTAGCCAGCGGTTCGCCATGCACTGTGGTTGACAATGGGGGCGTGTTTGTAACCTGTCATGTAGACTATTCCCGATGCTGATGGACGTCGGGTTGAGATTGTGTGTGCCAAGTGTGGCGGGTGAGAAGAAGAAGAAGAAGAAGAAGAAGGAGACATTGGCCAATCTGGAGACGTTTTTGATGGTGTTGATGACTGCTGACGCTTTGTGGATATGTATTTGTGTGGACATGTATTTCTGTGTGTGTGTGTGTGTGATGTGCAGTCACATGGGTCACGTGTTCAAGGGCGAGGGGTTCAACACGCCAACGGATGAGCGCCACTGCGTGAACAGCGTGTCGCTCGTGTTTCATGACAATGAGGTGCCGCCTCAGTAAGCAGATCGATGCTCTGTTGTTTCTGAGTACGTCTTGCACTAAACGGGCCGTCGAAGCGGAACAACAGCAGACAAGTGAACGACTTGCAAGACAGAGCTCTCTTTGGTGCGATCAGAAGACAGTGGACGCGAACACGAGGATACTTGCGCACACGCGAGGCGGATTAATTGGTAACTAACACGGACTGTCTTCTCTACAACAAACTGTCGTCTTCTTGGTCACTCGAGTCGTCGAAGCAGCTGTCAGCAGCAAGGTGCTCGAGCTCGGCAGGGTGCAAGACGTACTGCTGTTTCGGGCTTGGCGTCGTCGGGAGCAGGCGGTCTGTGGTTGTCTCGCCGAGCACGACCTCGAGGTTCTTCCACCATCCCTGATTGAATGGAAACGCACGGCCGTACTGGTGACACTCGATCGTTGTTGCGCCGTGGACCAAGAGGTACGAGTGGACGACGATGAAACCCAGCAAACTGATTGCCAGGGCGCCGCTCAGGATAAACCCCACAACGACCGGTGCAGACAAGTTGGCACCGGCATCGCTGCGTCGCCCGTCTCTGCTATAAAGTGCCGTCAGGAATGGCCCCGCCAGCGCTCGCGCGCACATGGACAGCGCAACGAAGGCGTACACGACAAAATGGAAGAAGAACTTGTAATTGCCCTCACCGATGCAATTGGCGACCCACGGACAGTGATGATCTGCACCGAACAGCAACCGCAGCAGCAGCAGAACACGACCATCAACACACGAGCGCATCGACACCCGACCGCATTGACGCAGGCAGCACCAGAACGTACCCATTCTCAGCACACAGCGATTGCAAAAGCTGCAGTGATGTGCTCGAAACGGCTTCAGCTGCTGGCATCGATGGCACGAGCTCATCACCGGCAGACTCGTGCAACTGCCTTGTTCCATGGCCTCCTGCAACGCCGTTTGCGCGCGCTGCACGACAGCCGGCGTGACGTATCCAGGGTCTAGAGGCAGCAGCAGCAGCAGTAGCAGCACCATCAGCAGCAGCACCACCGGCAGCATCAGCAACTCTCGAGACCGACGTCGAGTACCTCTGCCACTGGATCGCATCGCGTGGCCGTCGTACCTGTGAACACGACTTTGTAGTACGCCACGAGCGTACACCCGACGACAAAGTGGAACACGAGACCCTCTGCCACGCGCAGGAGCACGAACAGCCCCACTGACCGCCTCAGCTCGAGGAGCCAATGCGCAGTCATAAAGACAGCGTACTCGAGACTGATAATGGCCGTGACGAGGCACACGGGCAGCGCTGAGACGGCGCGGAGCAGCGCACTGCCCACACGACAGCTCGTCAGTCAGTGGACGAGTTGCAGCGGACAGTGCTGCGCACGATTCACTGCAGGTACAAGAGGACGGACGAACAGCAGCGGGTGGACGTACTTGTGGTGGACGCGCAGCATCGCGTCTCTTCCTCGCGACGCAACCGGCGGAGCTGTGGACGAGGTCGATCCTATTTCTAAAGCGTGGCAAAAACCTCTATGAATCGATTGGCAAGCGGCAGTAAACGTGCAGGTGGCGCGACTCGATTCGATTGCTCACTTTTCGTGACTCGCTCGACACCCGCTGCGACCGCAATACCGCAACTCGTTTTGAAACAGGATAAGCGCGTTTCTATCACAAAAGGGCCTGTTTTGTCAGCATTTCAAAGACGCTCGCTCGCGTTGGAGCCTCTTGAAACGCGTTTCTACCATTCATGGCTCGTCTCTGCCACGCCCATGGCCCGTTTCTTGTCACGTTTGTCACCACGAGGCGCTTTGGTGTCGGACAAGCGCATGTCACTGGCGCTGCTTTGACCTTCGAGAGTTTATTGGGCATTGAGTTCCCGAGTCATGGGGAACCGCGCGTCGCTGCATCGCGCGTGCGAGTACGGCGACCTGGCGGAAGTGCGTCGGCTGCTGACGACCGCAACAGACGAGTGCGATCTCGAAGCAACAGACGACTGCGGCCGCACGCCGCTGCTGCTGGCGGTCGCTCGTGGGGTACCGTTGCGCAGCCACGAAGAAGAAACGACGACGACGAGAGAGACGGACGACGACGACGACGACGGCGTCAATAGTGACGTGGTCCGTACTGACAGGGAACACGCGGATTGGTCGATAAGCGAACAAGCGAGCCAATCAGCCGGCGTGCTTTTCCCGTCTTACGACCATGGCACTCTTGCGAGGGACCCCCGGGCGCTCCCCGGTCTGGCGCCCGAGGTCGCGATCCTGCACCTGCTGCTTCGCCACGGAGCGAACGTGGCCCACTCGGACGAGAACGGCCGCACGGCGCTGCACTACGCGTGTCTCGTGCAGAACGCAGTGGCCATTCGGATGCTCCTGCGGGCGGGCGCGCGGCCCACGCGAGAGCGCTGTGGTTTGCTGCCGCAGGATCTGCTGCAGAGGGGGCACATGTCCGAGTGGGCCGCGCAGGCGCAGGCGCTCAAAGAGGCGCTCGAGCAGGTCACGAATGCGAGTGGCTATGCGATGACGCTCCTGGCGTTCCGACCGAGTGGGATCGTGCAGCTGGACATGGGCGGACAGGTCGAGAAGGGGTCGTTTGTCACGTGTACGGCAGCCGTGAGAGAGAGAGCGTGGGAGATGGGGTACTGATGCTGTGGTGATTGTGTGACTTGTCTGCATGTGCAGTAGAGTACGACGTGCCGGAGACGCACTCGGTGAAGGACTACGTTCAGGTGCTCGTGTCCGAGGCAGCATCGATGGAGATTCAGATGGGGTCGTACCATTACGTGCCAGCGGGTGGCCACGGCCAGCTCACGATCAGTACCAAGGAGATTCCAGCAGCCAGCATCGTTCGCTTTGTGTACGTCAAATGCGACATCAACACCATGTCGCGAGAGGTGGTGGCCAGCGGCTGCAACGCAGTGGTACAGGCTTCGGTCGGCGAGATCTTCCAGTACGAGCTGTTTTTGTACGATCGCGTGGTGGAGGTGGAGAGCATTGCGAAGTTTGAGTTTATCGATCAGCCGCTGATCGTGCTCAAGCGCATTGGCATACTCGTTGGCGAGGGCATTGACTGGGTCGATGTTCGCCCGGACAATCACATTGTTGCAGTGAACGATGTGCGCATTGACGCTATGGAGTTTGCTGACGCGGTGCGCATCTTGCAAGTAAACAATGGTAGGCGATGCACAAAGCTTCTCATGCAGAATTACTCGGCGTGCGGTGACTTCATACCGGAGAAAATCCTTGGCGTGGGTGTCGTTGAGAAGTACGCGTACTTGCGTCCAGTGGATGAGGAGCACGCGAGCGAAGGTCAGGAACCGACACACGAAGCGTGGATGCATGGCAGACGTGGTAGCTGCCACGAAGATGGCAGCGAGGATGTAGCGAGCAGCCGAGACGCGGGACCGAGTCGACTGGGCACATTTTCGTCGGCCGTGCAGCTGCCACAGGAGACAACCGGGACGTCTGTGCCCTCTTCCGTATCGTCACTGCTGCTTCAGGAGGAGGCAAGTGTTGCAACATGCGAAGCGACTGCTGGCGGTCATGACTATCGACCCGCGACGGACAATGAGCAGACCAGTTGCGCTGTCTCAACTATCGAGACAGTGGTGCCTCTGCAGAACTCGCTGGAGCTTGTACGTGCTAGTATGTCTCATTGTCTTCTTTGCCTGCTCTGTGCTCATGCCACCCGTCGTGCGTTTGTTCACTGCAGCTGGCTCAGCTCCAACACGGTATTTCCATCGGCCAAGCTGCAAGGTGAGGGTCCGCTTGCAACGTGGCTGACTAGTGCATATGGACGCCCAAGAGCATGGAAAGTAATGATGACGACGATGGTGTGATGACGATGACGATGATGGCGATGATGACGGGCGAATGCGTCTGCGATTTGACTGCGTGGATTGCAAGGCGGACGGGTTGCCACCTAGTGAAGAGATTTTGTTACCATTTCGAAGACGCGAGCCGAGCCTGGAGGAGCAGACAAGTGGTATAGCAGGACGCAGCAGACGCGTGTTGGGCGCGCAGATGATTTATTGGTACCCAACAAGTCGTCTCGGTTGGTCGTCGTCTCAGTTGGTCGTCGTCTCAGTTGGTCGTCGTCTCGTTTGGTCGTCATCTCGTGCGTCGTAATCAATGAATCAATCAAGGACCCGTGTTTTATGGAGCCGAGTGAGTGCCCAGGCGCTTGTGCAAAGAGGAGGACGCGGTGGATGTGTCCACACATACTAGAGCTCGTGAGGTGGTATGTACACATACTGGAGCTCGTCAGGTGCGTAACTAGTTCTATGCAGCAAGTGTGGGAAACTATCTATGTGCCGGTGGCACGTCTGCCGTGTCATCATTAGCTGACCAGATCACAATCTTGTGGCCTGGTCGTCGATCGCACACGATGTGGCTGCAGTGCACCGCTCCTGTCTCCGTTCTCGAAGTCCCACTACCGCAGCAGTAGCACACAAGAGGCACCTGCTCAGGAGCTCCTCCCTCGTCGTTTTCGCTCTGCGGCCCAAGTAGCTCCTCACTTTGTCTCTTTCGCTCGGCAGCTCAAGTAGCTCCTCCCGTACGACAGTACGATACCCAAGCAGAGCCGCGACTATCAATGCGCGTGGCCTCGTTGTTCCTCGTCGCGATCGCAGCTGCTTTGTGCGCGATCAGCGCCGAAGCGACTCAAGAGGCGGCAGCGATCAGCAATGCCGCTCCCAGCAAGCGGTTCCTGGCCGTGTTTGGCGAGGTGCAGCGCGCCGATGGTTTGGCCGAGATCTTGGGCAACTCGATTGAGACCCACAACAAGATTCGAGAGCTCCTCGTGCGGTGGTGCATGGAGGACCACGGCTCTGAAAATAGCAGCAAGAGTATCCTCAAGAGGAACAAGAGGAACAAGTTGAGGGTGAAGCACGACCCTCTGAAGCGCGCCGCGTCGAAGATGTACGCGAGACTGACGCACCACCCAACGAGTCGGAACCTACGCGAAGCGAGCATTGACTGTAAATATTTGGACGCCTGAAGAACAGGCGATCGGGACGTCTGCTGTGAACGTGAACGTGTTGTCAACCTGTGTGTCTTCTTGTCGTCTTGTGTCGTGGTCGACTCTTGTCTTGTCGCCGTAGCAGTTCTACGAAAGCACGTCGCATTGCACAGGTACGTTATGCTGACTGCCAACAAGAAGGACACGTGCATAGGTAGATAGATGGCAACAAGACGGACGCGTAGGGTCGTTCGAACGTGCAGGAGCCACTTTTGCTGCCAGGCTGTACCCCTTTTTCGAAAGGCGTTGGACGGCCTCGAGAGAGGAGGAGCGAACTGGATTCCTGAAGAACGTGCACACTGATTTGACCTGTCAGCGTGCCGGAAGAAGGAATCGTCCCCCCTCCCCCTTCCTTACCCGACAACGAACTGGATGGATTGACCGCCCGATCGCAGGCACATCTTCAGTTTCGAGGAGGAAACTGGTCACGCTCTACGTAGGACACGTGAACTGGATACTACGCCTGCCTGTTCGATGAGAGAGAGCCCACTGTGTGTGTGTAGGCGCACCTGCTCCTGCTTTGACAGCAACATCGGACGTAATGTGCGAGTGAGTGTGTTCGTTGTGGATTACGCACAGCGTCTTCATTCATGAGCGATATCGCGTGTGTGACGGGCTATAGCGTCGAGCAGCCGCGGCCATTGTCGTCTGACTCTTTCCAAAAGCCCTAAGATCGGTTGACTGATGGGCGGCATGAAGCCGCAGTTGCTCTTCCAGGTAGGCGAGACAAGAACACTCCAACTGCCAACGCCACTAGTCTTCGGCCACTGCTCAGGCTCAGTCGAGGCCGACCTGGCAACGACTGCAACGACGTCCCACGTGCAGCAGCGTCGTTACGGAAGATGACGCTCGTGCAGGCGGAATCCAGCGACCAGGTGTGCGAGTGACTTTCGTCGACGCAAGTGGTAGCAGCTACAGTGCTATGCAGACACTTCCCGTCACCACGCAGCTCACGGAGTCAGTGACGTAGCACAGCAGTCGGCCGTACGCTACAACCGCAGCACACTGGCCAAGACGTACAGCCAAGTAAGGCACCTGCACCGCGGTCGCTTCGAGTCTACATGTACCCACTTCATCCACATGCGTTTTGTGCCCACGAAGCGCAGCGCCTGCGTCTCGACTCCCGTATTGTCTGATGCAATGAGCAACGAACTCTTATGTACCACACAAGTACAGTCGGCGCAAAGGACGCGACAGCCCGACGTCAATTCATCATCAAGCGAGTGGGTCAGGTACGACCGCGTCGTCGTATCGGTCGACGTGGCTACAAAACGTCTGGACGACAGGCGCTCAGTCGCTATTCGCTCTTTTGGGCACTACTGCTCTCGTTTGATACGGTATCGATCGATTCGACGTTTCGATTGGTCGAAAAGGACCCCACTCACACACACACAAACCCGCTCGGACGTCCGTAGCTGCTCGTCGCCGAGCGAAGAACCCACTGGTCCGCCCTCTCCACGTCGCCCCTCTCGGTCCACTCATGACGCGTCGGTGCACGTCGCTCGTCCTCCTCTCTCAATGCACGACCGCGCTGTCCGCTTGTCCCGTGTCGGTGCTGACGCAACAGAACGCGCGCTGGACGCATACAAACGCTAATGTCGCGCTCGATACCGCCCGATGCAACCGGACGAAGGCGTCGCTGGCTCCCCAACGAGCCAATCGGAATACAGATCGACGAAAGCGACCAATCACAGCAGCAGCAGCAGCTACCGATGCGGCCGCTTGTAAAGCAGAAGGTACGCACAAGGACGAAGCTACACCGCGGCCGGGGATGAAGTTTGCGTTCAAGGACGGGAAGCCGTGGATCACCGTCATGGGACTTGGCGGAGCAGGCAGCAACGCGGTGAACAACATGATTGCATCGCAATTGGAAGGCGTTGAATTCATTGTCGCCAACACGGACTGTCAAGCTTTAGGACGGTCGCTCGCGCCTCACAAGATTACGCTCGGGAGAGACATAACAAAAGGACTGGGCGCTGGGTCAAAGCCCGAGTTGGGCAAACGGTCGGCAGAGCAGCAGAAAGGAGAGATTGAAAAGATGCTGCAGAACAGCAACATGTTGTTTATCACGGGTGGTATGGGTGGAGGAACGTGCACGGGCGCTGCGCCCGTTGTGGCCAGTATCGCGAGAGAGCTCGATATCTTGACGGTTGGTGTCGTTAGCACACCGTTTCGCTCGGAAGGACCGAACCGCACTCGACTGGCCAATGCTGGCGTGAAGGAGCTGGCCAAGTTTGTCGACACGCTCATTGTCGTGCCGAACCAGAATTTGCTGGCACTCGCGGACAAGAGCACTACCATGCTTGATGCGTTTCGGTATGCGGATGATGTGCTGTTGGAAGGCGTCAAGGGCGTCACGGACCTGATTGTTCGCCCAGGACTGATCAATCTGGATTTTGCCGACATTAAGACTATCTTGTCGAACGCAGGTCGTGCTATCATGGGCTCAGGTGTCTCCAGCGAGGAAGGGCGCGCTCGAAAAGCAGCTGAACAAGCACTAGTGAACCCGTTGCTTGGCGATCTACCTACTGAGTCGGCGCACGGCTTGCTGGTGACCATACAAGGTGGTGAGGACATGACGCTGTTCGAAGTGGATGAAATCATGGAGATCATTCGCAACCGTGTGCACGATGAAGCCAACATCATTTTCGGCACTTGCTACGACCAGTCGCTAGAAGGATCTGTGTACGTGTCCATTATCGTGAGCGGAATCCAGACGGACGTTATCTCGCCGCCCATTGGAAAGGCTCATGTGTTCTTGCAAGAACCTTCCAAGCGACTAGAAAGTGGAGACTTTGCGGCCACGTCGAAGGCCAATAACGAGGAGAGGCCTGTCGAGCAAAAGAAGGGCTTGTTCAGCCGCTTTTTTTCGCTATGAAGAGCTTTGATCAGTACAAGATGATAATGGACATCAAAGCACGAGGTTTTCGTACGCACGTACGTCTGCGGTCACTTTATACGTCACGGTCCAAAGTCGCAATTGCAAAAGCAAACAACGGCTGGTCCATGCCAAACGTGGGCATTGGGCAAATGCAGCGCACGCTTGCTAGACGCATTGTACTCAGTGTTTTAATTCGACAACTCAGCAATCGCACCCTCGAGCTGCACGCGAGCATATTGCAGCAGCTCCAAGTCACGCTTTTCCACCGAGAGTTTGAGATTGCCATCCGCCTCGTCCTTTTCGTAGCCAAGGCTCTTCAAGAAAGCCACGCCTCCTACCAGGCTCGCCACCCGCTTGCGGAACGCCGGATTGTCCAGGTTGATCGTGCGGAACTTCTCCTCGCCTGGCTTTTCCACCAGGTTCTTCACATACACATTCAGCGTTTTCAGGGCCGTGAGTCCATCGTTACCCACACGATACTTCTTCAGAATGCCCACATTTTTCACGATCTGCTCTCTAGGTGTCAGCTCGGGGGCCTTCTTTGTCTCTTCTTCCTTCTTCTTTGACATGGCCGGACCAGCGGGCGCCACATCAATAGGAGGGCCACCCAGCCGACCACCACGAGCGTGACGCTCGCGCTTGTCCATCTCAATCTGCTGACGCAGGCGCTCCCGCTCTCGCTTCGCGTCTTCCTTGTCCTTCTTCATTTTCTCCGCAGCAATCTTCCGCTGAATCGCCTCAATCTCGTCACGCGCTTCCTGCATGCCCTGTCCTTCCGTGCGGCGCTTCAACTCCTTCGCACGCTGCTCGGCCTTCTCCAGTTCCTCGCGCTCTGCACGCTTTTTCGCGATACGCGCCTTCAACTCCTCGACTTTTGCTGCCTTTTCCTCACTTGTCAGCTCCCGTTTCGGCGCTGTCTTTGACAGATCCACCACCTTCATGGGCTCGTCAATATCCGCATCATCTTGGTGATCCCCCAACCAATTGATCGCGTCTTCCAGTCCCTGATTCTCCGTTGCAACAAGCGCTTTACTCGATCGGAGCTCGTCAAACCCCATCTCCTTGAGCTGTGCCAATAGTCCCTCGTCCACAAACGGAAGTCCCATCTCTTCTCCTCCGTGCTCCATCTTTTCATCAGCGTCGCCGTCGTCCACATTGGCATCCTCATCACCAGCCGAACGACAGATGCCCGTACTTAAATCACACACTGCACCAGCCACTGGCACGGACTTTGCAGCAGCAGCAGTAGAAGCCACAGCAGTAGCAGCAGCAGCAGCAGCAAGAGGAGTTCTCGCTGGCGTCAACCCAGTGGGAGGCACAAGACTCACGTCGTTGAACTTCTTGAGCCGAGCTTCGCGCGCTTGTTCAGCCGCCGATCGAGACGCAGCTCCAGCAGCAGCAGCAGCAGCAGCTCCAGCGCTCGAGCCCAAGGCCACTCCAGGCGAAGCAAACGGATTGAACGCCGACTGCCGCCACTGCTCAATCTTCGCCCGCAAGGAGTTCGGGTCCGCGCCCACGAGTTCATCGACTTTCGACTGGTTCAAGTAAAAGTGGAACGTCGGGAACCCGCGCACGCCCAGCGCGCCAATCAGCGCGCGGTTCTGCGCCTCGTCCACCTCGAGGAACACCACGTCCTGGTACTCGTGGCTCAGCGCGTGGTACACGGGCTTAATGTGCTGGCACGGGCCGCACCAGACGGCGGAGAAGTCCACGACCACGAGCTTCCCGCCCGCGCGCTGCATCTGCGCGTTCCACTCGGCGTCGCCGCGCACAGGGAGGACGCCCATGCTGTGTGTGGATCCGGCGGGTGGACGAGCGGTCGTACTTTGGGCGACAACGAGGCCGCGGCGTGGGGAGATGATGTGCGGAACACTAGTTTAGGGCGTCTGGGCCAAGAACAGGCGCTTGGACAGCGCTGTGAACCAGAGGTGCATTGCATCGGTCCGAAGAGGAGGTATCTTGGCCACAAGGTGTGTCCTTCTGACGGCTATTCGAAAACAGTACCTGACAGCAATGGCTTTTGCCGTTTGTAGGAAGAAAAGGTCGACATGGGCCGTCTTCTTCGTACTATGACGTGTGCTTTCAAAGCGGAAAGAAATTCCACGTCGCGGAATGCCTCTGATGGACCAAAGTGCGTGCGCGCGTACGCACCAGAAGACAAGTGACGCACTTTTGCAACCGATACGTGGATAGTTGTAGCCGCTCAGGTGAAGAATAGCATGGCGATCTGCACACGCGTATCTCGTGACGCTGCGGCGAAGACGGGTCGACACGGGCGTAACAGGCATGCGCTGCCAGCGTCAGTGAAGTTCACGTGCAACATTCGGCTCTACATGTTTCCGTCAGGTACGATGGTATGCCGCGCGGTGCATGTGGGTGGACCAGTGTCGAAACCTCAGCTGACATGTATAGAAAGCAGCAGAGTTCTACGGCAACGCGCAGCTAATTGCAAACGCAGTAGTCATGCTGTGTCTACTACTCATTGCGCAGTCGATGGCGAAAGCACAAGCAACAAAGTGATGAATGATGCGAAAACGGTGGCGTTTACAGTACCAGCATCAGCGCTGGTCTCAGTCTCCTGCAAGAACATCACGTCTATCGCCAAAGCGGTAAGGTGGGGCGCGACGGAAATGGGCAGTCGACGACATCGACGGCAAGCACGTGAGAAGCAGTGCCGAGCGTGTATTGACATGGCGTTGACTATGAACTAGCCCGCTGGCGAGCCAGCAGCCAGAATGTAAGCGCCAGTGGACCCAGGAGCGAGCGTATAGCAGTTGGTCCTGGGCCAACCCGGCCAGGCACCTCTGGCGAGATCGCCATCGAACGACTCGACGCATGCGTAAGCATGACAGTATGGTCGCTGACGCAATGATTTGGTGCGTTCTCGTTGCGATGCTCCGTGTCATTGTAGGCATGGAAACCAGAACTGTTCGTACTGTCGCGGCAAAGGACTGCGGCTGCTCGCTAACCTGCTGCATTCTTGAGTTTGTTCGGGTGTCGTTTGACGCATCGTCGCGAGGTAGTGCCAACTTGTCGTCCGTGCGCGTTTTCGGGCCGCCCACGTGCTACCCATCGACGGCAAGCACGTCTATCCATTACGAAGACAATCAGTCGATCTATCGGGTGCTTGTGCCTATTCAAGAACTATCGGTAAGACCTCGTTCTCGTGTTCACGGACTCATTCTGCTGACCAAAACGTCAGGTTTTTACGGGAAACACTCGGTAAAGGGCACGTGTGACTGGTAAGTATCTCTGACGTGCAGATCGGCTCGTTCTTTGGACGTCGTTGTCGCTTGGCCGTTGTAGCTTTGCGCTCAACTCGCACAGCGACGTCTATCCATTACACACAGAATGGTCCTCATTGATGGTGGCGCATATACACGTGCGCGCCTGTTCCTACTGGAGTCATGATTCGATTCTAAAACGGCCGCACAGTCCAGTCAACCTCCTCACCGCACCTACTTCTTCGTCCACCTCTTCTTGGGCCCAGAGATGGCATGCAGGCGCTCTTTCGATCGGAACAACAGATCAACTCGACGACATCGCGAAAGGACTTCCGAGCTCATTAGACTTCCACAAACAAGGTAACTTGAGACACGTACTTTGTGTTTGGATGAACGCGATGCGCTGTGCGGTCAGTCAGCCCTACTGCGGGCTTCACCGAACAAACGTCGTCATTAGCAGTCAGCAGTCAGCAGTCTTCTGTACGTGACGCACAATCAGCTGAGACCTCGCGGATGCATCCGCCAAGGACAGTGCTGAACTTTGCGCTGCACCATATGCTACGCCCGCATGATTGTACGATTGTACGTGCAACAGACGTGCTTGCCAAATCCATGCCAAGCTACGGTCACTTGTCCAAGACTTTGCATATTGTAACATATCATCGCTCTTTACTTTCGATGACGTCCTCTTGGGCCAAGATGACTAGTGCTGCACCCGTGTCAAGCGAGCGATCCACACGCAGTTTACGTACGGCCTATGCGTGTTCGCGTGCCCTATTTTTTTCCAGCTCGTGAGACTCGACTTCTCTGAACCTGCATGCTTATCCTGTATTCTCCGTCTTTGGGCACCAGTAAGCGTACCCCTCGTGCCCCGCTATCGCGTTTTCCGTCCTTTCCACCAGCTACGCGCTAGTCGTTCCACACAAATCGCACCAGACGGCACTTAAGTGCGCGTTGCACTTTGTGTTAGGGGTAGGCCCAATAGTGCAGACCACAAACCCCACCCACTTGCTCGCTACAGTACCATGTCGCCTAACCAGTTGCTGCATCAGAGGACGTCCTGCATCTCAGTTGCTCCTCGAGGACCCGTTAGAAACGTCCATCGTCCGCTCGCTCGCTCGCTCGCTCTCTGTCACAGACCGTCGGCGCCGGAGCCGCAGTCGCGAGTCCCTCTGACGTACTGTCACCCGCCAGTCCCTTCAGCTCGTTCCCCGCGTCGCGCACGGGCCGCGGACACTGCTTTCCCCGCGCTCTTTACGCTTTCCAGTCATCAGCACGACGGACGAACAGCGCGTTGGCTGTGCCGTGTACCCCTTGAGTGTACCCCAACGGCCGTGCAGTGTACCCCGCCCGTTTCTATTTTGTGTCTCTCTGTACCCACTTGCGCCATCGAAAACAGCAGCAGCAGCAGCAGCTCATGACGCAGGCAAACCCCGAGTTCTGGACCCCTCACGAGGTGGACGACTGGCTCAAGCGCTTTGAGAACGGCCGCTACGCGCACTTTAGTGGGCCCCTGAAGGGCCGCAAAGGCGCAGACATTGTGCGCTTTACTGCGGCCGACTGGTCGCAGCTGACGCCTCAGGACCTGGCCACGAGCCTCCGCTTTACGCTCTTGGGTATGGTACAGGTGGCGACGCACGACGAGCCGCTGGCGATTGTGACGGACTTTGTGCCGCTTGGGGGCTCCCCGGGCAAGATCAAGCGAGCGAGGGAGGCCCCGACAAAGACAGTGCCCGTCAAGTTCCCGCCTATGGTGGAGCTACCGTCCGTGCCCGTGCTGATCGTGATGCTGTTGTTTGTGTTCCTGGTGGTCCTGTGCTTCACAGTGCTGCGTCAGCCTCTGTTGGACATTGGCATTGAGTCGAAAAGCCTCTTGAAATATGGCTCGATCCCCATTGTTAGTGTCGTGTTCACGTACCTCCACATTTGGATTGCGCTGTGGATGACGTTCTATCCACTCGAGTACACTGGCTGTCTGCAGATTCCGAAGACCAACGCAGGCCTCGGATGGCAGGGCATTGTACCGCACAAAGGCGAGAAAATGGCTCGCCAGGCTGTGCAGATTATGACGCGCGACTTGCTGAATGTGTCGGAGATTTTTGCAAGGATCAAGCCGGCACAAGTTGTGCGCGAGCTGGAACCGATCATGTTCAATATGATCCATACGGTTGTGGAAGACATGGCGCTGAAATACAGTCCGGATCTGTGGGCTGTGTTGCCGGTCAGGGTAAAAGAGGAGATTGTTGAGAAGGTAAAGGAAGAGTCGCCTGCGCATATCGAGGCGCTCATGGACGAGATCCGTAACAACATCGAAGAAGTCTTTGATTTGGAGGATATGGTGGTAACCAACATGTGCAAGGATAAGCAGATTCTAGTGAACATGTTTGTGATGTGTGGCTACTCTGAGCTGACTTTTATCCGGAATTCAGGTGCCTACATGGGAGGCATATTCGGCCTCATGCAGATGGGAGTGTGGTTCGTATACTCCGATCCGATTGTCGTGTTCCCGGTGATTGGTCTGCTTGTGGGCACTGTGACCAACTGGCTCGGTCTGAAGATGATTTTCGAACCCGTGAACCCCCGGAAGTACTGTGGCATTACTTTTCACGGTCTGTTCTTGCGACGTCAGAGCGAAGTGGCGGAGGTGTACGGTAGGATGGTTGCCCGCGACGTGTTAAACTCCCGGAACATTTTCGAGGCTATTTTGAAGGGCCCGTACTCGGATCGCCTGTTTGAGCTCGTGTACGACAATGTCCAAGAGGCCGTTGATGCTGCTACTGGGACTACAGAAAAGATCATTAACTTCAGCATTGGCAAGGAAACGTATGCCAATATAAAGGAAGATGTGACGAACCACATTGTGGAAATCTTCCCGGAAAGTCTCCGTCATATCGAGAGCTATGCCACGGCTGCCATGGACATGGAGGTCACGCTGCGTGAGAAGATGAAGCTGTTGTCTTTCGAGCAGTTCGAAAGCTTGCTGCACCCCATCTTTGAGGAAGATGAGTGGAAACTCGTGGTCATGGGCGGCGTGCTTGGCGTCGTGATCGGCATCGTCCAGGTTTATCTTATCGAGCACTAGTCAGGCTGATCGATGCAGTCAAGGAACGGTAGTATCCGACCGCGTGTTCGTCGCGCTCTCTCCGCTGTGGGTCACTGTAGTCAGTCACAGCGGCTTTGTTCGGGCTTGAAAGGGTAAATATTCGATTTACGCGTATTTGTCATGTTCATATTCATGTCTTCCCATTTTACCCAAAGCGATAGTGTGCAGCACTAAGATCCAGCTTAGCTAAGCTGGTCGACTCTGAACTGACAAACCGGACACACCTTGTTCAGCGACAGCCACAGATCAATGCAATCGGAGTGGTACGAGTGAAAACACGGCAGCGACTTGATCTCCTCGCCGACCTCGAAGCCGCAGCGGCATATCAGACAACTAGAACGACATCAGTGGAGAAAGACAAGTTGGTAATCAGATCGTAGCGAGTAAGACGATCGCTGACGTACTCCGGAATACCACGGCCATCGTCCTCCTTTGCCGTGCTGAAGGTGTACGTGGGAAGCTGGTTAAGAAGCGATGACGATGCACCACGGCTGGAAGAAACAAAAAACACAATGTTCTGTTAGTCAGTGCAGCTCTTTTCAAGCAACAGACGGCAAACGATATCTGACTTACGATTTCAGCGCCTGACCGTGCTGGTCTTGTGCGTCGGACGACGTCTCGTTAGCCTCAGTCTCAATGCTTACTGCAGGCACAAAACCGAGTCGTGACATGAGTATGGTCGTACAAGCGTTACGCGGAGACGGGCTTACCTATCCGGAAGTCCAAGCTCGGTTGGATTTCGGTCACTAACATTCCTCGCACAAACTGCAACAGAATAGCTTGTCAACCTCGCATGCTAAAAGGCACAGGATAAGCAACATACTACGTACTTCGTCGTCATAATTATTCCCTGGCGTGCCTGATGCAGCAACACGACATAGCGATGTTGATAACGTTTCAACCATAACCATTGCGTGAGCCATTTCAACGCGCACTTACTCAAGTCAGTTTCATACAAATGCTGCAACCATCGCGCATACTCCTCGTCAAACGACACTCTTTCTGTGGTCAGAGGGACAACGTCATGTGAGCAGCCATCCAGCATTTGCCACGAAAAACATACACACCTGCACCCATGTCAAAGGGAGACGGCGCATTTTCATTCAGCGACTCTTCACTCGCTCCCATCATTATTACTTGCTCGCGAATAGCATCGGGAAGCACAAACCGGAAAAGATGCCGCAGTGGCAGCACTTTCGTTTCGTTACAAGCAGCGTTCACGTGAAAGAGCAAGTAAATGTCCACTCGGTTTCTTTCCGTCTTCCGGATCACATCGATTTTCTCTAGATCGAGATCGCCAAACGGTGTCCGAATACCAGGTTTCCCTATCAAAAACGTCACAGTGCTTGGACCATCGTACCGCATCGCCTTTGCACGACTGTCGCGTCTTCGTTGCTCGGAGAATGTATTCGAGTGAGCTGACTCCCCAGTTGTATGGGCACTCGCCTCTAATGCGTCTCCACCGGAAAGAATCTCGTCCATCTGCCGTATAGGAAGAGATGACTCCATGGCTGGAAAAGCGCTAGAATCGTGAGCATACAGAACACGAATGACAAACTGCTTCGGCAGGGCGAACGTCGATGAGATGCAGTCAAAGTCGCCCTTTTCGAGGTGCAGAGTGGCGACGCCCTGGTCATTCTCTCCAAGTCCCACCTCATCTTCGACAAGCTGGAGCTCTAGTAGAATGCTTGCATGCAGGCGGCATTCAAACAGTAGTTCCCCCTGTCGTCCAAATGGCAAGTGGTACATCTTGAACATCAGGTCACGGCAGTTTTCCAATTGCTTTCCCACCCGAAAGGTGTGTAGCCCCGAACGAAGATCCACGTCTCGAACGCCATTCACCAAGCTGGAAAACAACACCCCTTTCTCACTTTGGATGACGAAGTATGGCCGACAAGTGTCAGCTAGCGGTGCCACGGCAGCTGATGTTGGACTGGCAGCGTCATTTGCACAATCAGGACTCGATAACAAGTCAATTTGACGGATATAGATCGATCGAGATGCCGGCGTAACCGCAATGCCCGTCAGCTTCTGCTTCTTTTCCTCCAGCGCTGGCGAGTCCGCGCAGTCGATCAACTTCCTGTCGCGCATCTCCAGCAGCTTACCGAAGTCTACAATGTATCGTGCCTGAGGCCTCGGTAATCCGCCGGTATATGCTGCATTTTTCGGATCAGTGCCGCTGAAAGTGCGCTGGAGCTTTGCGGGCCACGTTTCCGCATACTTCACGTGCTGCAAGTACGCACGTAGTAGATCGTTGCCAAACTTCTCGGGAAAGGAAGACGCGTCCGTGCAGTAGAGCGTACAGCACGTTGCGAAAACGCTCATTTGCTCGTTGTTCGGTGCGAGCAAGATCGCAACGTTTGACGGGTTCAGATCCAGCCATGCAGCGACTGTTGACGTGATCACGAAACCGGAGTGCATCGACGGAATCGGACCACGACAGTACGGTATGGAAGCAATCCGTCCGTCTGTTACGCAGAGCATATAACAATGCACAAGTCATTCACGCAACCGCTCTCACGCGCAAGCAAGGCAGAAAAAGCAAGAGACACGTACCACAGAACTCGTCAAACGCTAACGCCTTGTGGTGCAAGCGCTTGACACCGTCAAACAAGCCGCAGTCAAATACACACGCTCCATCTTCAAACCTGCAACAACACCAGGGCTGTCAGCACGACAACTTCCCTCATCGTCCTCAAGCTCAGACCATCGGCACCTTTTTGACATTCGCGAATCCAGCTGTGCTAGAACCTTCACCGCTGCGTTCCAATTGCGCGCCGACGAGTACGCTCCAAATAGCCGACTGAACGTCGTAATGTGCGGTGGTGCCACGCAATACACCCTGCAACCACATCATCAACAACAACAACAACAACAACAACAGCAACGAAACGACTCGTCACGACTCAGCACCAAACGAACATTGCTCTCTCTCTCTCTCTTGCCCACCTCGGTGCAATCTGGATAAAGCACCCGTCTTCACAGGTTTTGGCAAACAGCGCATACTGCACGGCACTCTGCAGCGAAGCCTGCAGTCGGTACGTCCACAGCAGCACGCGGTACGTATTCGGCGCCGCGTTCTCGCTCTCCTGCTTCACGTCGTCGCCGTCTGTAGCTGCTTCAATGGCTTCGAAACTCTCTTGTCCATCCAGCAACAGCGACGACGTCCGCACGCGCGCTGCGCGCTTCTCTTCTCGCTCTCCCGTCTGCGCTTCCTCCTCTTCAATCGCTTCCATCGCCATCACTTCCGTCGGCGACGGAGGCAGCGACAACTGCAGCAGCAGCCGACGGACACGCGGATCTTCGGCCACGCGCTCCGAGTTCATGCGACGGATGAGCACTGAGCCGCGCTCGACCCATGCTAAGCTCTCGGGGAACTGCTGCTCGCTCGTCGGCATACGTACAGAGAGTGCACGCGACAGTGGGGTGAGGCACTCGCGACGTGACTGACGGACAGAGTGAGTGAGTGAGTGAGCGATCGATCGACGACAGGACAACTGAAGAGCTCAGAGCTTATTCCGTTCTCTGGCGGAGAGCGGGTTTTGTGTTTGGTTTATTCGCCATTGGCCAAAGTCGCTCGCGCACAAGTAGCCAGTGATCAACGAATATGTATGGACGAAGCAAATCCAGTGTGCTCGAGTACGTATCCACGCACACCGACACGCAGTCGGAACATCTGCCAGCGGGATGCTGATGGGTCGCCGTGATGGGCACTGCCCTCTCTTTGTCTCTATCGGACTCAACTTGTCCGATCGACGGACGACATTCCTATCGCGCAGTAACAGCGCCGCGCAGTGCACAGGCCACAAAGCACACCGCATCCTCAACACAAACCGTCGTCAACGTGGTATATAAAACGCATAGGCGCCACCGCGTCGCTCGACACAGTGGACGGCCACTGGTCCAGTGCTTCGACGCTGTGTTCCTTCGCTTTCGCCCGCAACAACTACTTGCGCGGAGGCGGCGCCATGTTCTGCGGCAACGCTTTGCCGTACCCCGATCGAAACGTCGTGCCCATGCTGCCAGCGTCTTCGTTCGCCGGCTTGTTCGACGGCTTGGCCCACTCGAGCTTCAGAATCAAGTGGTCGTAGCCGTGGCCCTGCAGCTTGTTCAGTGCCTTCTCGGCGTCTTCGCGGTACACAAAGCTCACGAACGCAAACCCACGCGACTGGAACGTCTCGCGGTCCTTGGCCAAGTACACGCGGGACACGGGTCCGAACGCACAAAAGAGCTCTTTCAAGTCGTCTTCCCGCGTGTCGGGCGACACGTTTGTCACCCGCAGCGTCGCGCTGTCGTCGCGCACGTTGTCGTCCCGTGCGTCGCCGCTGGCGCCTCCCAGGCGGCCACGCAGACTGGGCGGCACGTACTTGCTCGAGCCAAACGCGCCGTCGAGGGCCGAGCCCCCGCGCGCGCCTGCGTCGGCTGCAGCCGACTCGCCCGCTTCGGCGCGCTTGGCCATGTCCTGCTCCATCTCGTCCTTCGGCGTGTCTTTGTACGGACACTTGAGCGTCCAGTGGTCGCCGACCATGCCACAGTGCCGGCAGACGACAATCGACGAGTTCTTGACACCGGCAAAGATGTTCTCCTCCTCCTTCTTCTCGCCCGGCAGCACCTGGTCGGCGTTCGGGTCCTCGAGCGTCACTTCTTCGTACGACATGTACGTCACGTTGCTGCTGTCGCCGTCGTCCAGCGCGTCGCCAAACTTGCGCCACTTCTTGCGCTCCAACGCGCGTTTGCTGACGCGCGCAATCTCTGTGACTTTCTTGACCTTTTTCGTCACTTTGACTTTGTCGCCCGCCTCGTTGAGCTTCCACTCGACGATCTGCCGCACGCCGTTCGAGTCCGGAGCGCTCTCGACGCGCTGCGGGAGCAGGTCGTCTTCTTCGTCGCCCCAGCGCATGCCCGACATGGTCATCTTGGGCGGTGGAACGCGATCCGAAGGAGCAGATGTAGCAGGTGCTGGCGGGGACGTGGACGTGGAGTGGGTGGTACAGGTTTGACTGGTGGGTGGTATGTGGGGAATGTCGTGTGGTGCACACTATGCGGCGAGAGGGGGAGAGAAGGACGGGAGAGGTACAGTAGATGGATACAGCGACACCGATGGATCGCTAGCGTGATTTTTGTGTTGACGGGGACTTTTTGAATCTTTTGTAGGTGGATTCTGCTGACGTGAATCTTCGTTTGGCGTGCGGTGCTCGATGGCAACAGAGGAGACAAAAGCGTTCAAACAGCAAATTCTTGCAAACGACGACCGTTAAATGTAAATGCTGATTGTATCGAGATAGTGCCCTTTGAGCGAAGCCATATGTCGCGGTACATGTTTTTCATCACATAAACTCACTGACGTTTTTTGCAAAACTAGACGAAAAAAAACAAGTGATGCTGGACTACAGCAAAGCTGCTGTCCAAAAGACGAGGACGCTACAGGACTATGCAAAGTGATGGATGTTATGAGTAAGCAGGTACAACGAGTGCGATTGTACTCACGCAGTGTACGGGGGGGGGTAGAGTTACCTTTCAATCACGCGATCGCGGGATCTGTAACGGGACAGCCCGTTACATGGGAATTGTCATTTGGGAGATAATGACAATAAAGAATATTTTGTTGAATATTCTTTTAACAATATCACCAATTGTGGTGATATGGATGGGTCGACCAAAGAGTCTGTTCATTGGTTGATATCTTGACGATATCAACCCATCAATCGCCTCAAGACGCGCGCAATGAGTGGTGACGAGACGTCACCATACACTCATTTATATTAGTATAATTAAGTTAAGTCAAACAGAGAGACAGTGGTTAAAGACTTAATTATATTAATATAACAGTTTTACTTTTCCCTTACCTACGCTTCCTCGCTTGCCTTGTGTACGTCTGTCGGGGCACCCGAAACCCTTGCGTTAAGTTCACGCAAGGGTGTGCCCCGTTACACCTGGTAGCACTTTGTAGTCCTTCCAAGGACCACAACATCCAACATGAACATGTTGGATGATGAAGAGACCTTTCACGCCACGCGTGAAGGGTTTACCCATTTGAGTGACATCGAATGGGGTGCGGTAGAACGAATAAGTTCTACCGTAGGCGAGTTCGCCATTAGCGCCATGTTGGAGTCTCTAGACAGAGACCAACAACATGCCGCTATAGCCAAGTCCATTCAACCTAAACTTGTCGCCAAAAGGGAGAAAGTAGCCTTGCTTCACCAGCAAGGCTCTCACCAGGCCGAGCAGTTGAGAGAACTCGGTGCTCAACAGACAGAGCTGTTGAGACAGCAGCAATTCCATGCTGATGTGGGCGGGACGGCGCATGCGCGTCGTCCCGAGGTCATGAAAGTTGACATCTCCAAGTACAGTGGAGTCCCGGAAGACTCCCTATTACTATGGTTTGTCGAACTCGACAGAGCCTTAAGGGCTCGTCGCGTCGAAGATGAGCAAATGAAACTCACATTTGCTCAAACCCACTTGGCAGGACGTGCCAAAACTTGGTACCTGGGGCTCGAGAGTAGCGACCCAAATGTGTTTAGGTAGCTAGATGACTTCAAGTCCCGGCTCAGACAAATTTTGAGCCACCACGCGCTGAGTTCAGGGCTCGTTCAGAGCTCCTGAAACTTAAGCAGGGTAAGCGTGATGTGCACGCTTACGCTTAACATATACGACTCCTCGCGAGTAGTATAACTGCTAACCCAGTCCATGAACACACGTTGATTACGGTGTTCATGCAAGGGCTCGCAGACGGGCCCGTCAGGAGCCACCTGTTCCGCCTTGAGCTGAATACGCTTGAAGATGCGATATCAGCCGCGGAACAGGAAGACTTTAGCATGAGACAGGCTCATGCTAGCTCAAACTCTTATCGTCCACCGAGACGACAAGAGATCGGAGGTCCAGAACCAATGGACATCTGCTATGTTGAGAGCGAGAGACCTCGCTCCTCAAACAACAAGCGATTGCAGAGGTGCAATCGCTGTCAGAAGTTAGGGCACTACGCATACGAGTGTAGTGCTCCACGCCCAGTACCAAACAGTACTGAGCGAAATGGACGACCATTTGCCAGAAAGGGCAATGGGCGTGGGTCCAGCGCTGTTGCGAAACCGCAACAGCGAGACGGACCATCAAAAAATGGTCGGGGTCAGTAGGGGCGGAGCGCCCTACTGGTCCAGCAACCTCAAAAGGAATTTTCAAATCTCTTGACGAAAGTTGCTCCAGATACACAATTATTGTGTGTCTCTGCACCTGGTGATGACGTTTCGCTCATCACCTTGAAGTCGGAAGCGACAAATGATTTGTCACTTCGTGCTCTGGTTCATTGTGGGGCGTCGAACAACTTTGTTCGACGCCAGTCACTAGAGGGTCGTAGGCTCAAGTTCGTTGAGCGCGACATTCCCCTCACAAGGATGACGGTGCGCCTTGCAACAGGCGCATCGATTACCGTTGAGGATTGTGTAGTAGAAATCCACTACACGTTAGAGGGCGAACAGTACGATGATGACTTCATCGTACTAGATCTGGATGACAAATTTGATGTCATCCTGGGATTACCTTGGCTCAGAAAGTACGAGCCAAGGGTGAGCTGGCACCATCGATCCGTGAAAATGCCTGCCGCTTGTTCATCAGATGACCATCTGATGAACATCTTGGAGCGTCCACAAGCGTGTGGATGTTCTGCGAGTGAGTGCGATGGTCTCACTTGCGGTACGGTCGTTAGCACGACTGCACAAGATCACATTGTAGTTGATCACTACACTGTGGAGCAAGCTCCCGGCGGCTGTACAGAAGTACAGGTGGCGCCAAAGGTCCATTACTCGAATAAGTCGCGTGGACCGGGACATGGATTCATGCCTAGCGGGCAGCATCGTAGACGAAATAAACAAGTTGACTTCAAAGGGCAACATGGACGTCTTAGGTCGACTGGAGAGTCGACCGTAGAGGATCGGTACCTGACTGTGGTTGCACAGCCACAGTCAGAAGACGTCGAGGGAATAAGTCCCCACGTACTTGAGGAAGGGATCCTTAAGAGTCACTTGCTGAGGGATCAGGCCCTCAGCAACCTGTGGAAACAAGTTCCCAGGAAGAAACCGAGACGTTGAACGTCGAAACCTAATGAGGGATCATGTAAAGGGCTTATACGCTTGATCTGATTGTGCCTCCGAAGTTAACTTCAGAGATAACTCAGTCAACGCTAGAACCGAAACGGTTCTTGCGTGATCTGCGTAGTGGCAAAGTCAAGCAGATCTGCATACTCGTCACAGAGGATGTGTATGTGGCCGATATTTGATCGTCAACAGTATTTGCTGAGAGCAAACGGGTTCTCAGCAGCTCATCGATGGACGAAAGTGTCCTCGATGAGAAGACTCGGATTGAGCGATAGACGTCTCAATCCTGGAAGTCGCTTCATGCAAATCCTTTGTATAAGGATTTGATCGAATTCAAGGATGTTTTCCTTGGATACGTGCCATGCGAGTTTCCTAAGGACAAATGCACTCGACACGAGATCGAGCTCAAACCGGGCTCGAAGTATTGTGTCATGAAGCAGTGGCCACTGCCTCGTGAACAAGTACTAGCGATCGAAAAGTTCTTTACCGATCGCTTAGCAGCGAGCCATGTGACGGAATCAACTTATTCTCACGGTTCTCCGACCTTCTGTGTGCGAAAGGCCACAGGAGGATGGCGGATTGTGCACGCATTTAACAAGTTGAACTCTGCAACGGTACCGGCTCAGACGCCGATACCGAGGAAGGACGTAATCATAGATGGTATGTCAAAGAGTACCATCTTTTCGTCCATGGATCTGATGGATGGATTCTATCAGATCCTCATGCGTGAACGGGACGTCCCGTTCACGGCAGTGAGTACCCCCAGCTGTATGCTGTAGGAGGGGCTATTTATGCCACAGGGACTGAGCAATGCCCCTGCAACATTGCACAGATGTGTCACAAATCTGTTGAGACCGGTGCGAGACTTCGCACCGAGTTACTTCGACGATGTGTTCGTCCATAGCCGGGCTATGGACGGAAAGACGGACGTTGAAGCTCACAGAACTCACGTTCGTCAGGTTCTTCAACCTATGCGCAAGCATAAAATTTACGCAAACCTCAAGAAGTGTATATTTGCAGCTAGCGAAATAACACTTCTTGGGTGCATCGTGGGTAAACACGGCGTACGCTCTGATCCCGAAAAGATCCAGGCGATCACCGACTGGCCATTGCCAGTCGATGTCAAGGGACTAAGGAAGTTCCTTGGACTAGCGGCGTACTTAGACAAGTACTCGCACAATTACGCCGAGATGACTGTTCATCTTTCTTGCTTGCTCAAGAAAAATGCCAAGTGGTCATGGAACGCTGACTGTCAGCGTTCCTTTGAAAGCATCAAGAAAAGTTTGATGCAATCGCCGATCTTGGCGATTGCAGATCAGGACAGACCATTTCATGTGGTCTGTGACGCCAGCGATTTTGCGATCGGCTGTGCGTTAATGCAGTTTGACGCAGATGGCGCGGAGCGCGTCATCTGTTATCAGTCGCGTCAGCTGAAAGCAGCTGAGCGGAATTACCCAGTGCATGACAAGGAACTCCTTGCCATGAAGTATGCACTGGCTAAGTTCCGCGTCTATCTCTTGGGAGATAGACCGTTTGTTGTCTATACGGACCATGCGTCATTACGCACGGCCGTAAACAGCCCGAATTTCTCGCAAAGAATGGCGAGGTGGCTGTCTTTCTTCGCGGAGCATAACTTCTCCGTGGAGTATAAACCAGGAGGACTAAACGTCGTCGCTGATGCGCTCTCGCGCCGGCCCGATTTCGAGCCGGACGCACAATCCAACAGTGAGGATAAGCCCACTGTTGCGACACTGTCAGTCAGTGTTCCGTCGTCAAGTTTACTTGACGACGTACGAAAGGCATACGCGGAAGATGAGGATCTTCTGCG